TGGATGCTTCCCCGAGTCTCTCCAAAGATCTCTTTTTTAGGACTTTGTTTATACATTTCCAGGCCTGTTCCTTGCAGCCCTATCCGAATCGGTCATTACAGACAACAGTCTAAGAGTGATTGTACCTGGACCCTGCAGACAAGAGCAGGGATGGCCTATAAGGTCTGCCATTTGGTGATGGATCCTGCAGGCAGGCTCCGATGTATCAGAAGATCTCGCTAGCAGAGTGCTTGACAGGTCCAGGGCAGTGATCCTCCTAGAGGAGAGTCCGGTCCCTGAAGGCCCTGCAGGGTGTGGTGTGCTGCTATTCTCTTCCCTGGCTTCCACTAGCCCAACATATAAAATTCAAAATACTAACCACAAAATACAGTCATCCACAACGTCACCCCCAGATACGTCACCAACCTCATCCACAGATACTGCCCAAACCATCCTCTCCGCTCCTCCAAAGACCTCCTGTTCTCCAGCTCTCTTATTACCTCCTCCCACGCTCGCCTCCAGGACTTCTCTAGAGCCTCTCCCATCCTTGAACTCCCTTGCCCCAGTATGTCTGGTCAGCTCCTACCCTGTCTGCCTTCAGGCGATCCTTGAACACACATTTATCCAAGGAAGCCTACCCCACCTCCACTTAGGAGCTGTACTTGAGTCACCTCCATCAGATCATCCCCTGCAGCTATTCCCTTATATACCACCACCCTCCTTTTAGATTGTAAACTCCATGAGCAGGGCCCGCCTATTCCTTCTGTTTTGTACTTATACTGTCCCCCTTTATATTGTAAAGCACTGCGTAAACTGTTGGTGCTATATAAATCCTGTATAACATTAATAATAAGGCAGATTCTAGCTTCTCTGCAGTCTGGTCTGGAGATGTCCCTGGCCATAAGAGGACAAATCTAAGCCTTGGCAGTGCTTTTTTAGAGACCTGTTGCATCTCATTCTGTGATCAAAGCTTTTGTTCTGGGTGTCATGGTGAGCTTGGATTGTTACCTCCTGTGCAAGCCTCCGCTGTCTCCTTGGGATTTTTTTCACTTTGTCTTGATGGTTATGCAGTCTGCGCCCTTTGAACCCCTCAGAGAGATTCACTTGTCACTTCCTACATGCAAGGTTGACTTTTTTGGTGGCCATTACCTTGGCTCGCAAGACCTTGTTGGTGGCTGACCTTTCCTGCAAGGAACCTTTCCTGGTTCTTCACCAGGATAAGGTGGCGTTGAGGCCTTGATCCTCTTTCTTGCCGAATGTTCTCCATTTCATCTGAAATCAGGACATTGTGTTACCACCCTTTTTTCCTATCTCTAAACATCCAATAGAGAAGACGCTTCATACTTTGGATATTGTTTTCATCGATCTGAAGTCTATGGCTTCATTTCAACAGTCTGATTCTCTGTTTGTTCTGCTTGAAGTCCCTTGTAAGGTTCAGCCTGCTTTTGAATCCATTATTTTAGCTGAAAATTGTCAGCTCATTTCCTAGGCCAATGGCACCAAGGGCGAACTACCTCAGTTCCCGGCTTAAGGCCCATTCTATTGGGAGTGTCATTGCTTTCTGGCTATTCAGCATAAAGCTTCTGCTGTTCAAGTTTGTAAGTTTGCTACTTGATCTTTTCTTCACCTGCTTGCGTAGCTCAACAAGGTTCATGTTTTGCCTCTGTGGACAATAGCTTTAGACAAAGGGTCTCGTAGGCAAGCTTTGTAAGGGGGTTCCATATTTCTGTTTGAGGATTTTGGATTGTTAGCCTTGTTGCTCTCCGTTCAGATTCTTTGCTTTGGGCCATCCCCCCTGGCTTGTGTTCCTCATTGCTTGCCACAAAACTGAGTCTTAGCTATGCAGGAAGCAATTATGCCTGGGCGGGGACACCTGCCTTTGTTTTTTGGTCTGTGTCCATTCAGTCAAAGGTAGAAGTATTACCCTTGTAGTAATAAGTAAGTGATATAACTAAAGGTTTGTTGGATAAGGTATATCTTTTTGCTGATGACACAAAAAGGTGTGCAATAGGGTTGACATCCCTGGAAGGTGTTTGTAACATGGAACAAGATTTTGCATTGCTGGAAGATTGGTCACAAAAGTGGATATTTCAGTTCAATGTTCTAAATATAAAATAATGCACCTAAGGAAAAAAAATCTCTTGAGAGAGTGCAACATTGGGGGGGGGGGGGGGGTACATTGTTTTTGCCAGCACTACAGAGGAAAAGAACTTGGGGGTACTTATTTCAGATGATTGCAAAATGAACAAACAGTGTGGCCAGGTAGTGGAGAAAGTGAATAGAATAGGATGCATCACTAGAGGGGTCACCAACAGGAGGAAGGAGGTCCCGATTCTCCTATATAGATAATTAGTGAGACCTAGAATCACCTTCCAAAAAAATTGCACTTGAAAAAATGCTGAGCAAATACCATCTGACATAAAAAAATTGCAAAACCCACCAATTTTTTCTCTAAGGCCTCTGATTTAAGAAATGTATAATGTTTGGGGGGATTCTAAATAATTTTTTAGCAAAAAAAAGAAGGCTGCTTGCTTCATGTAAACAAAAAGTGCCAGAAAAAGATTAGTCTGTAACCCCTTCCCACTGCTTCCCAGCCCCTTAAAGAGCTTTTAAATTGCTGGGAGGCAGGCATTTGGGTTATGTGACGCTGTGATTGGCTGTCACATGATCAGAAAGCTCCTGATCGCTAGTATGCTTCGGGAGCTATCCGTCCCCGCCAGTGTTTGTGCTGGGAGTGCAGAGGGCACGCTCTCTCAGCACAGATAGTTGTTTAATTGACGTTAAAGCCCACGTGCCGAGAGGCCATATATATGTACCACACCAGCGGGAAGAGGTTAAGTGGCTATGATTGCAAACAGGTGATTAATTTCCAAGTTACTTTGGGACTAAAGCTGGCCATACATGGGGTTATTTTGTTCTAAAACATTCGATTTCATAACACTTTGTTCATTTTTCTAATATTTAATAAGGTCAAATTGATGATCATTTTTCAACCATACTGATGAGAAAAAAAAAAAAACTTAAACGAATATAGAATGAGCAGAAAAGGCACTATTTGCACGGCTGTTTTGACACACTTCAAATCCCAGGGTCAGAGATCTACTGATTCCTGCTGCAGGGATTGACAATTGTGTGCACAGCTTTTCGTGGCTGTTTGCAAGTGCTGCGGTGGTTGCTGGCTGTGCGGACAGGCACACAGCAGATGCCTAACAGTGAATGTGGTTTTTGTTCCAGAAATCCCATTAAAGTCATTTTAAACCTAAACCACCAATATGCAGAGAGAGGCTGGAAATTGACTCCCAAAACAACTGATAAAATAATTTATTAAAAAAAAAAATCCTACCACAATACCTTTAAAGTGGTTCTAAAGTCAGAAGGTTTCAATGCATTACCGTAATGATTTCAACGCATGAACGTGGAACTTTATATAACTTATAGAAATGGGCGAACACGCAGTTATTTTTAAAGGCAGAAGAGACATACTCTGTCTCTACTGTATTAAAACTGCTGACCTGCCTGGCCACCCTTGTACAACTCACTGTGCACATGCACAAGAACTTGCGCATGACAAGTCATTCCCATCTAGCCAATGAAAGCAGCTGACAATTGATACTTAGAAATTGGCCACTTGAACAGGTCAGCGGCTGGCGGGGAGCTCCAGGATGTCACATTGCTGGAGCCGAGGTAAGTATAGTTCCACTGCAAGGTAAAAATCTTCTGTGTTCAGTCTCTACAGTCTTATACTTACCTGAGCCCAATCTCGATCCACCTCTGTGCTCAAGAGCAGTGGCTCTCTCCTCTTTCTCCCTCCTCACTGGACATGGAGGCAGCAGCAGTAGCCATTAGCTCCTGCTGCTGTCAATCACAACCTGTCAGGAGGGAGCAGAGCGGAGCTGCGATGTGCGAATCAATGGACAGAGCCCGGTTCGGAATCAAGCCCATACGAATGTCCCCTATAGTAAGCCGCTTGCTGTGGGGGCATTCGGAAAGAAGGAGTATTCAGGAGCACTGGTGGGCAACCCCAGAGGTGGAGGAGGATTGGAGCTGCTTTGTGCAAAACCATTACACAGAGCAGATAAGTATGCCATGCCTGAAGGGACAGGTAAGAGTGTTTGATTGACAGCGCCTCCTCCCGTCATAGTCATTTACAACAGGGCATGCTGGTCCTGCTCACTGCCCGGTCTGTTCGAATCTACTAAAAAGGTAAGGCAGCCCATACCAGCAGGTTGAAAAAAAAAAATAAAATTACACAATTTCCCCATTCACTGAGTGTGTGGATGAGGAAATCGGGTCAAGGTCATTTTTTTTCTGCCTTCTCCTGCTGAGTTATTGTATGTGGATAGCAAAGAGAATTTACAATATAGCCAACAGCACTCATTGATCGGGAAAAAAACCTGACAGCCTGTTGTACAGAAATCGATCTGTTCAATCAGCCTGCCTATACATTGATGGAAAGTTGGCAGGTCCAGGTATGGCTGGTTTAAGCTGTATACACAGATTCCTGAGCATGTGCAAATGAGGTGGCAACACTGTAGACAAGTAGATGATCCTTCATATTGTTGCCACCACTAACGGCCATGGGAGGGCGCTGGCAGGATCAACAGGTATTTATATCTTTTTGTATAAAAAGTCACCAGTGTATGGTCAGCTTAAAGACAACCTTTACTTGTGGCTGCCATAGCGGACATCTTCCGAAAATGTTAATCCAAGGCTGCAATAATATTCAAGTCACTGATTTGGAAAAATACATATAGGAGATTTGACCTCAATTGCCGCACACTTGTTTGCAAATTTGTGGAGCAAGAGAGTGCCTCGCAACTAGAAATGTCAAGAGATGTCAGCTTACAACAGCCCCCTATTCCTCCAGCTCACCCTTACAAGCCACAGCTTTCTACATATATTCCTGTTGCTGTGGCACTCTTCACCTAAAAACAGACAATGCTTGCAATGAGCAGCCAGACTTCCCAGTGAGGCTCCACCTGGCACCAGTGACCTGATGTCAACAGTCACCAGGGGCCTCCTTATCCGATAACTTCGTTAACAGAAAATCCACCAGGGGCCACATTATCACATACCTTGTTTGAGGTCCTCATCTGGATGGTGATGGAATGCTTCTCGCTTCTGAGCAGATTGGCTTTGGATCCTGTCTTTATGTAGGATATTGTGGCGTATGCTGTGAAGCTGAAATCTTCTCTGCAGGACAAAGGCAAATGATGTATGAGACCTTCCCTGACACTCAGCTCCACTCACCAGCAAAGCAGACTCAGTGCTGGGACAAAGCCCCCAATGAGCTAACAAGTATTTCAGCAGCATAGGTTGCAGATATTTCCTTTTTGTGACTCCCTCCGTTGCCTACTCATCCCAGCACTAGATCCAACTAAAATCCCTTTCTAATGTTCCAATAAAAGCAGATGTCTCAGCCACATACACTGGTAATCGTATGTCCACATAGCACTCCAAATAATCTCTGTTCCATAGGTGTTAGTAATTTGTAATTATTGCAACATGGTACAAACATATTGATCATTAGTAGTAGACTGTCCCTCCCTCATACAGATTGCTAGGTATAAACCAAACAAGATTATTTGTACAGCTCTCTAAAATGGACCTGTCATCAGATAGATTTGTGGAAAGTACATCATGCAAAGTAATGTGCATTTTCACGTCTAGACATTTAATACCGCTCAAAGAAATTGCAGTACTCCCTCATCAATGTCCAATCAGTTTTTCTCTTCAGTAGGATGGCATGATCTTTGATCAGGTATCATCGAGGCCTATAATCTAATTCCTGGACTGAGCTGTCTGACTCAAATCAGCCCTTGCTGTAGCCTCTCAACTCGTGGCTTGCTACAAAGTTACAACATTAAAGATACTGGGGGAGAGAAGACTGAAGAAATGCCTCCTTCCTGCAGCAGACTGATGATATCCTCTCAAACATAGGCAAAGTCACTAGCTGGAGCTTAAAGTGGTTGTAAACCCTTACATATAACCAGTAAAGGGACTATCCTCATGTAATACACAGAGATTACATAAATCCTCCTACATAAATTGTATCTGTAATCTTCTCCTCTCTACATCCGTTCAAAGTGCTGAATTTAAAGAAAGCTGGACAGAGTTCAGAAAAAATAGGGCAGAAAGCCGAATTTACACATTGCAGAGCTCAGTGAGAAGAGCTCAGAGCATTAATTCGAGGGAAGAGACTCCCTCCCTGCAAAGCAGAGGCTGTCAATCTGCTAGAGGTCCCTCCACTGTCACCATTTTTCTCTTGGTGTCAGCAAAAATTGTCAGAAGTGATTCACGCTGACAGTAGACTTGTAAAGTTAGTGACAGATCCACTTTTAACAGTACCCATGAGGAGTTGTACATTCACATTCCCAATTACCCAAAACCTCAATATTTGTGATCCTTCACAGATGAGAGAAGATGAGCCCAATTTATTCAAATTATAAGATTTCTACCGTATATATTGCTGCAGCAGGAGGTGGGCAATGATCCTCTCTAATTCCCCACGTGGCAGTCGCGGGGGGAGGACCTGGGAGACGCGCAGTTTGGAAGCCCCTTTCCCCATCCAGGCGTCGATAAGCTTCAGTGGGGTGAGCTTCTCATCCATCTGATCGGCTTGTTCCAGAATCTTCAGGATATCTCTGCAGTAATCTGTCACATCCACTTTGTCATAGGCTAGACAGAGAAAAGACACTCGTTAGCCTCCACCTTTTCTCACAGACAGTGTTTATGAATGTATGAAAGAAGTGCCAGACCAAAAGATAAGAGTCCAAATTCGTTTATTGATTTAGGTTAAAAGATATCCAACGTGTTTCGGGGGTCAGAGGAACTCCCCTTCATCAGGGCTACAATAAAACATAATATAATGTAATAATAGTTGTGACTGATAAAGTCACGAGGCTAACAATTGTAAAACACCATAGATAACAGATGTGTATGCACCCAAAAATGCCCACATATTCATAAACATGAAATTAAATGAATATCAGATATTAAAGCGATAAGGTGCAATGGATTAATTTTCAAAATTAAGGATATCAGATTCTACATGGTTAGTAGATGTCTTTGATGACTGTTATATTAGGGTTTTCTTCATCATCATGTTATCCATGATGTTTTACGAATGTTAGACTCATGATTTTCTCATGGAGGGAGTTCCTGACCCCTGAAATGCTTTGGCTGTCTTTTAACATAACATCAATAAATTTATTTGGACTCTTATCTTTTGGAATACCCACAGTAGGGTAGCCTTGCCTGTTGTAAGCATCCTAACCTGAGTCAGTGGGCTCTTCAAATGTTTTTTGCCTTCTCACTACCTTTTTTAAACTCATATCAAAGATTCTAGCACCTCTTGGATGCTCATTTTTTTCACTGGAGTATTTATGTATTGGTCTTATTCATTCCAACAAATATGTTGGATTTTTATTCTGTCATTTATGTTCTGTAGCTGGTTGGCCCGTTAGCTAAATCCTGATGATCAAAGCTCATCCCTTTGAACTCAAAATAGAGTAAACACAAAAATAGGAATTGTGACTTGCTGTACCTGTAAATTCCCTTTCTTGGAGTACAGTTTAGAACTGGTATTCTTAGACCATGGATTCTGTGCTGTTACTTTAATGTGATTGGAAACTTGCTATAACTTTTGCTAAGCCAGCCCCTAGAGCATACATATATATATCTGCCCACTGCAGGCTGCAGTTTTTTTTAAGCCAGCAATAAGCAGGAGAGACCTGTATCCTGTACTGTACTCCAAGATGAAGTATTTACAGGAAAGTCAAAATTCATATTATCCTAATTGTTCATTACAGGACTTGTATTCATAGACCAGGAGACATATCCAAACAATAAAATTGAGGGGTGGCAACATAGAAAACTCAGATAACAATTTAAAACACCTTGTGGAAGACACATGCATTAGTTGTGACTACCTGATAGAAACTATAAAATGTGTTAACAGCTGACCAGGTGGCAGCCTTCCAAATCTGGGACACAGGAGCTTTATGCTGGAAAGCACAGGAGGAACCTTTTCCTTAAGAATGTAGGCCCTGGAAATGAGTCGTCCACCTGGCAATGGAGGGGAGAGAAACAGGTTGTCTTCTGTGAGAACCTCCAGGTAGGAAAGGAAGCCACGGCTCCCAAGTAGCCTCTGACAGTCCTTTCCACATCCATAAAGTGCAAAGTAAGTTCCATGGCATATTTTGGGGCAGGATAAAGGGAAGGGAGGACCATGTCCTCATAGGGGAAAATGAAAGTTTTGGCCTCAAAACCACCTTGTACTTGTAGAAAACAAGAAATGTCTCTTTACGAGAGAGCAGTTAACGCAAACACTCTGATGACAACCTTAAAGTGACACTAAAAAAAAAGATAATTTTAGAATCCAGATCCCATAATCCAAAGTCCCTAGTTCAGAGACCATCTCGGGAGTGTCAGAAGTCTGTCAGGACTATGTCCATGTACCACATTTTTTTCTGGGCCAGTTTGGTGCAATAAGAATCACTGGGACCCTTTTGACCTAACTTGTGCAGCAGTCAAGCAAAGATCTTCAATCAGAGAAAAGGCATTAACCAGTTAGAATGGAATCACCAGAGGATCCCTGGTCTTGGCCATGAATTTGTTTGGCTTGTTGTTCCTGGAGGTCATCCAGGGAACATGTGAAATGAATGCTCTGGGTTTGTAGAAGACCTAGAAGCGGGAAAAACACTTTTGTGAACACTTGGGGTGCAAAGGAGAGCTCAAATGGCATTGCCGCACATTGGAATTGGTGTTTCCCACAGCAAAATTCAGGAACCACTGGACCAATGAAAAAATGGAAATAGGCTTCAAGTATGTCTACTGATGCAAGAACGTTCCCTTGTTTGAGGGAAGAAATGACATATCTTGTGGATTCTATCCAAAATTTTGGTACGCAAAAAAAAAAAAAAAAAAAATTTGGGAAGGAATTTTAAATGCGCCCAATTGGTTTCGGGAATGAAAATAGGTTTGAATAGAAATCTTGTACCTCTGAAGGAACATACACAACCACCTTCAGTGCCTGTAATTGTTGCAAAGTGGTCATTAAATCTGCTTTCTTTAGGTCTGAAGTTGACAGATTGTAAGGTAAAATGCGAGGAAGGGCAGAGATAGAAACTCTATTTTCTACCTATTTTGAAAGGATAGGTTTGGACCTAGAGGTCTAGGATGTCTTGGATCCACACTGGTGCAAATGCAAACAAACATTACCCCACTCTGTCCCTTCTTTGTGAAGAGGGCTTCTGGGAAGGATTGGTGGGCAAAGACTTGTCACAAAAGGAGCTGTTAAGCCTTGGTTTTGCGGTTGATGCCTGGGGAGAATAGAAAGTCCCCTTTTTTTGAGCAGAGGTAGAAGCTGTAGAAGAGACTTGGGCTCTTTCTTATGGGGTAGAAGTTATGTTTACCCCAGTTACTTCCTTGGTGAATTTCTCACAAGCATGTACTTCAGTAAAGTTTTTTTGGGCATGTGTAGTACGCCCAGTGTTCACAAATGGTTAAACAGAACAACCACCAAACAAAGCAACGATCTCCTTATTTCTCCTTCTCCAAGTATCCCCTGACAAATGGAATCTGGAATTCGATTGCTATGGGAAACACTGATATAAGCTTAATCTGTGGCAGAGAACCAGCTGTGCAGTCTGCATCACTATATGAACAAGGATTCCTTACTCTTGGTGGCGTTGCAGTTATCACACATCTTATTGCACTGCGCAGAGTCCCAGACTTCATCAAAGTGTTGGGCAACCAGGACACGTCTGCACCTACACAAGAAAAATCACATTATTTTACATCATTCTACATGATGAAAATCATTTACCAATGGCGCGAAATTCAAAGTCTCTATGGTTTTATGGTATGCTTCAAATTATGGTTCACAGTCACTGGAGAGAGCAAAATAAATCCACGGTTTTAATAGAAAAATCATCATTTCCGATCAATATCGGAAATCCTTCTGTAACCAATGCCATCAGTATATTTTGCAACAATAAGGTTACAAAGGTCTTGTGAGAGCTCTTTACTTTTACCCATCGTGCCATGTTTTTTGTGTGACAACTTGGTAATGAGACACCTTTCTATAGGCCATCAGTTGAGATTGAACCAGCTGATATAAATTTGCACTAACAAGGGGCAGGATTGCTCTCTAATTACTGATAGATTACAGCTGGTATCTTGGCTTTCCGTGCCTTTTTGCACCTCCCTTTTTTTATGTCTTCAATACTTTTTCTCTGTGTCATTCCATTGTATTATACATAACGTCATTTCTGAATTTGTTTTGGTGTCTTTGTATGTATGGATTGCATGGGTTGTTACCGACATGTGGTGAAAATGTCATGTCATTAGCACCTTTAGAAATATATTTGAGAAAAATGGTGACATAGTCAATGCTTATTTACCCGCTGTATAAAGATTCTGAATGAGAGTGACTTATTCATTTTAATCAGCTAGTACACTTTCAGGGTTCTGATGAGAAAATCTGAAGTGTCTGCATCCCTTTAGTAGTGATTAGCCCTTAGGAACTGTCAAACCAAAATTACATTTTTCTCACAGAGGATGCCTAAAACGTGACTTGTATCTTTGTGCAGAATTCTTCATCCAAGCAGGAGATTACATTTCTGGAGGTGCATCTGGAGGTGCAAGTTAATTTTTAATAACATGAAATTATAGTATGGCTTGTCTAGCAACTGTATGTTCTTTATTACTTTTGTAAATTTTTTTCTATAGGTGAACTTCGCCTGCATACTAACTGCATCACAGGTAACAGTCAGCATGTCAAGATTTAGCCAGTTCTAACCCAGATGTCTTCCAGCATGCAGGACGATAGTTGGTGGAACCTTTCTGCAGGAAAAGGAATTACATGCACAAACAACACCTTTCCTATAGGAAACTTTCACCTGCATATCACCTGAAATGCTTTCACATTTTTTACAGTTTGCACTCTAAGGGCATGGTCCAATTTTACCTTCAGTGCCTGATCATATATATGCAGATTGGATGTGGTTTGAACCACATTCAATCTGCATGACATGTGAAAGAAATAACATTGCTTCCTATGGTGCCTGTTCACATATGTCCGGTGCACTGCTGACTTCTGAGCCGTGTGCTCCAGTTCAGGTGCGGATTACTAAAAAGGTATTGACTTTTATGGGAACAGTTTCTAAACCTGACATGTGTTAACAGGATAAAATCCTGAGATGATCTTGTCCTGAAAGTGATGTAAACCTGACCTGAACGGTTGAACAGTTACTGTGTCAATTAGCAGTGAAACCTGAGCTTCAAACCGCACTACACATTTGTGAATCAGCACTCAGGGTGTTCTGTGTGGGAAGTGTCTGTGAAGCCATTTGTTCCCCAGTAATGCATTAAGAAAGTTGGAGATACAAATATAGATGATTATAAAAGCTATACATTTTGGACGATAACGCACTTAGTGAGGTCCTGGCAGTACCGAACCATCTCATAGAGCTTCTGCTGACCAACGTTCTCCATGACAACCATTGTACTGATACGGAAAATGTCCCCAAACCCATAATATAATATACAGTCGGCACGTCTGTCATCACGACCTGTGGAGAAAAAAAAAAAAAAAAAAGCATGGATGAGGTCAAATGACAGTGCACTATAAAGCCAAGACGACAAAACGACAAAAAAAAAAGAAAAAAAATCCATCCAAGAAGCTTATATTTTGCTCGAAAGACGTATACATTAATTTTTAAATGTGGTACTTTAGTCAGAAAAGTCCTGCTGGATCACTTCAGGCTGGCCACTTATGCAGGTGAAGCTACTGTATGTAAAACATTAAAAATAGGTGCCTATACTGTTTAAAATGCAGTAATACACAGTCTCACCCTGTTCTGCACATGCTCAGTTGCACTCTATTTTTTGCCACTGTGCTGAAAATGTAGAGGCCAATCAGCTGACAGCCGAAAGGTTTACTGCTGCCCAGAGGTTCGGGGCTTAGCAAAATGGCAGCCTTCAGCAAGAAGAAACAGGAACATTGCTGGAGGCAATTTACAGCACACACTAATTTTGGTAGCATAATTTATAATGTGGAATGTATGTTCTTTGCTAAAGAACATTATTTTTTTTATCAAACTGTTGTGGGTAAAGTTCCGCTTTAAGTTTAATCATTTCTGGTTTTATGTGACAAAATATTTTACCTGCCCGTCCACTCTCCTGATAATAATTTTCCATCGATTTACTCATCGTGTGATGAATGACAAACCGCACATCTGGCTTATCAATACCCATCCCGAAAGCCACTGTGGCCACAACCACCTGGGAGAGATGAATAGATTAAAAGGGTCAATATATAGAAAAGTGGTAGGCCAGCTTTAGGTGGAGTTCAGTGGGCCAAGTCAAGAGCTATGGTCTTATGTGTTTTGAGTATTTCAGTAGTGAGATCTTTCCACCATTCATTAGGCTCTTTTATCATCTACCTTAACGGCGTACTAAAGCCAATACTTTTTTTTACCTTCATGCATTCTCTGTATGAAGGTAAAAAAATGCCCCACTACCTGTCCAACCCACCTCTATCCCTAAACACTTACCTGGCTTCATTTCACAGCTTCAGCACCACTCCCTTCACATTCTCCTTTCACACAAGAAACAGAGGAAAGCAATGGCAATAGGCTCCTGCTCTTATCAGTCAAACTCCTGTAAAGAGGGAGCAGGGGTGTTGCCTACTAGTGCTGTGTGTGTCTATGGACACACACACAACTCAGAACCCAACGGGATCGTGTATGTGTGGTGCCTCCTTAGCACCCAGCTTACTACAGAAGGCACCCGAAGGAGGGAAAAGACAACATCACTAGCAGGAACTGCCAAAAGAGGATGAAAGCGATCTTTCTGTGCAATATCGCTGCACATAGCAGGTAAGTATTACCCAGTTTTTAAGTTTTTTTTTTATTTTCCTTTAGTATTACTTTACAGTTTTAGCTTTTCCTGCCATCTGCAGCCCATAACATTATATGGGCACTGCAACCTACCAAAGCCCAATATTACTAACATATACTGTAACAACTATATAATCATTGTAATAACCTGACCCCACCTGAATCTTATTCTCAGTCCAGCAAGTGTGGACTTTTGTCTTGTCACGTGGTTCCATGTTGGCATGATATGTTCCTGCTCGAATTCCCAGTTTCTGTAAACTTATAGTGACTTGTTCGGAATCTTTCTGTGAAAAACAGTATATAATTCCTGCAAAAAAAAAAAAAAAAAAAAGGGAGGATGAAACACTTCCGTAAAGAGATTTGGATCTGAAACATTCACACAAAAATTGTGTGACTATTCACCTAAATTATCCACTCATGCAGATGCAATAAGTAAACAGGGATTTACTTTGCACCAATTTATTCTGCAAATTTTCTCAAATCCTTTAGTAAAGCTTTCGTATGTCCAACATACACAATGAAAGCAAATTTAAATATGAAGATATAAAAAGATATATATTCATATAATTGCTCCCCCCCCATTAAGGCCTCATGCACACTAGATGTTTTTAACACTGCTGTTAGGAGAGTCTGACATTTTCTTTTCTGCCTTTAAATGCCCTTGCACATTACCCTATGTGCCCATGCACAGATGAGAGTTTAGAGGCAGGGGCGCTTAGAGACAGAAAAAAAAAAAAAAAACAACTCACTGCAAGCACAACCATGAGCAGAAGCATTTTGTCAGAAAAACCACTTGATGCGTGTAAAAGTCTAAATGTGCATGAATACTAGGTGCGATTAGTGCTTGAGTGTTAATTCATATCAATGGCCGAAATACATAAACGCCCAAGCGCTTGACGGAACTAAAAGCATTAACACATATTTAGCGTTTTTTCTGCCAAAGTGCTGTTGCCAGAGACAAACGTCCTGTGTGCATTAGGCCTAAACATTTCTTAATTTATTAAGAGTGGGTAATGGAATACAAATATAATGAAACATGGCAGAAAAAGTGTCTTCCTCCACTGAATAAACTTTCAACAAGCAAAATGTCCAAAAACATGACCAAAGATTTGCCATAGCTAACTGAAACAGAAATGGTGTCCTGTATACACAAGAATGAGCCCAGTCTCAGATAGTGATAAAGAACCAATCAGAGCGGTTCACAATTGCAAATCTTTATTACTCCAGCTGTCTTTGCATTGCTTCCTTTTTTTTTGCAACTTGTCTATTTGTCAGCCTATAATAGTGCATCTGAGCAGGGTATGTTAAAATGTTGAACTAAATTAAATCCTTGTAAGTCTTTATATGATCCTGAATGGATAAAGTGATAGTGCTTCTTTACAAAAAAAGCAAAAAAAAAGTAAAAATTTTATTTTTAGGTAGGCAACACAGGCCCCTTGCACACACGGCATCTAGCTGCTACATTTATTACACTCAAGAAGCACAGTTGCAGCATCCAGCACTGTTGCCTGCAGATTGTCAAAGTCTATGGCAAACTGAAAAATGTACGACTGGACAGGGCTGAAGGCTGTACTGAAGGATACACACATTTAGGGATGAATGCCTGTAGGAGGTATTCTGCATTCTGGGCATTTGTCAATGAACACATAGGGTTGTAAACACAAGTACCACTCAGTACAGCAGACAACCCTGTCCAGCCACAGCATATTTCAACAGCCTGCAGGCAACAGTGCAGTTTGCCTCCCAGGTGCACTAAAAGGCTGGGACTGTAGAGCAGCTAGAAGCCACATGTGCTAATGAAATTTTGAAATAAAATCTTTTCCATTTTTATTAAACACCATATTATGCAGGCAGATCAGGGTTGGTGGGAGGGGCCAGCACGGTGCTATACATAGCTTTCTGAGAACATTACAGTACTCTGCCTCAGTACTCCTCTCAAGAGCCCTCAGTCCTGATGCAAACGTTGGGCTGGCTCTTAGGAGGAGTTATGCAAATATCAAAATGCCTTAGTACGTGGATGTCACTCCAGAAGAATAGGTGTTCCTATGCAGGCTGCATTTGCCCTAGGTAGCACTCACATGTGATGTCGAGTCTCCACGACTGAAAGAACTGAAATCTATGAAAGTGTTGAAAAACCAATGAATGAAAAGGGCAGGCCAGATGAGGTAACAGATAGTTGATGAGGCAGGTTCTATCTAACTTGCTGCAGCTTCTAATGCACATGTATTAAACAAAGCAGGTTCAACAGAAGTGCAGACAATACGTAACTCAGATGGGATGTTTTGCACTCTAAGCAGACAAGACCTGCATTGATTATCAGTTCAGTTCAGTCAAAGCTGTATCAGATCTGTCTGCATTGAGAAGTACAGGAGTGTCATTACCGGATTGCCCTTTGTATCGGCAGTTGACCAGTTTGACGATGTCCTCTATAAAGTCATTGGTGCTTGAAGGCTTAAGCCGAACCTGAAAAAAAAGTGTTAAGAAAACCTGTCAGTTAATTTCACAAATACAGTTTTGGTGGTCTCAATGATTTAGTTTTAAAGACCACAAACACATTACTTCTATTGAGTTATAGAACCTGGGGGGGGGGGGGGGGGGGGGGGGGGGGGGGGGTCACCCTTTTACTTTCTTTCGAGGATTTTTTTGTGAAAATAGTAGTCTGGGATGGCATGTTTAAAAAATGATGGGGCAGTGGAACCAAAGGTATGCAGGCAAAGCTTCAGTACACCCAAGCCAAGCACTCCTGCGCCTGCCACGTTTTACGTTTGTATGACCCCTGTGCACTCCAATGACCCATGTACTCCTGTGCTTGCAGTTAATCCTGCACTCCTGTGCCTCAAGAGATTATTATTCACTCCCGTGCACTCCTGTGACCCCAGTGTCTCTATTGACCCTCATGTGTCCCCCATAGCCCCAGTCTCTAAAAAAAATCCCAGACAAACTTGCATCATCTGGTGACCTCACATCACTCTGGTGCATCCTGAGCACATCTGTGGCACCACATAGCCTCAGGTATGAGCCTGTATTTTTATTTTCTGAACTGTCTTGCTCTCAGTGGATACAAACCACTGTCCATGACAGAAGCAGTATGACCCCAGAATTGAATTCTTTTTCTGGATGATCACATCTGGGTAGATGGGAGTTTGAATGTTGTTGGGGGGAATCACTTTGGTATCAGCCAAAGTAAAACCACAGAGACAATTCATACCTCATAGAACAAGTTGGGTCTATTGAAGGAGGCAGTAAAGGTGATCGCCTTCTGAACACAGAGAATTTTCTGGGCATCCTTTAATACATGGCTGGTTGCCGTCGCAGTCAGGCCAATCAGAGGGGCATTGGGAAACTGGCGTTTTAGGATACCCAGCAGCTTGTAGTCTAAAAAACACAATTCAATAAAAAAAAAAAAATATATAAATCATCATTTCATGTCCATAATTCCCAGTAATTCTTTATGAAGTTTCCCTATATAGCAACAACTAGTTGCAGGATAAAGCTATTGAATGATGGGACACCTTTGTGCAATAGATGTCTGCAACTTTCGTTTTATCAGCCAAATTCAAGCATGGCAAGCAGCGTCACACAAATCAAAAAATAAACAGATCCCCCCCCCCCCCCCCAGAAAAAAAGTGCAGTGCTGTGAACACCCTCTTCAAATCAACACCCCCCCCTCACAGCAGTGTCCTCTGCTTCCCTTGACATCACCTCCCCCCCACAGCAATGTTCTCTACCCTTCTCAAATCACCCCCCCCCCCCCCCCCCCCCCCCCCCCCCCACACACACACACACACAGCCTTGCCTCCCGATACTCCTCTTCTTCCCCCCCAGCAGTGCTCTCTGCTCCTTTACATCAAACCCCCCCCACTAGGGCTCTCCGTCCATTTACATCACCAACCCACAGCAGGGCCCACTGCCCCTTTAAATAACCCCCCCCCCCCACCCACACACGCACACACAGTAGAGATCTCTGCCCCTTTACATCACAACCCCAAGCTAGAGTTCTCTGTACCTCAACATCAAACATCCCCCCTGCTTCCCCATCCACCAATGCCAGGTCCTCTGCCTCCCTAACTCCACTACCTGACAGGTACACAGAGCAGAGAGCAGGAGGAAGGATAGGCAGAGTGAGAGGCACACAATAGCACTGCATGGAGGGTGGGAGTAGGAGCTACCGAAGTTAAATTTGCATATTAATAAACTTGCAATTGGTTGTTAGGACTACTCTGTGTCCTAGCACCCAATCATCGGCTAGTTATTCTGCAATGTTATCTTGGCCAGCTCCCACTGCCACCCTCCATGCATTGCTACTGTGCCTCTTGCTCTGTCTAGCCTGCCTCCCGCTCTGCTGTGATGACAACAGCAGAGGCTGGGAGACAGAACTAGCTTCTAAATGGCTCGAACGCAGGTCCAGATGGGACAGTGATTCAGTCCAGATTGTGCTCCATTATTTAGTTATGCCTGACATACACAATATCATCTCAATTTTTTTGGCAAAATTTAAAAGGAGAGGTTCAGTAAAGTAAATACAGGGGTTGAACAAAAATTATGGAAACACCAGGTAAAAGAACGAAATGGTAGATGATGGAATCGGATACCACTCTTCATGCAAAAATCATTCCAGTTCACATAGAGATGCCAGAGGTGGAAAACGAGCCCCAGCCTTGTTCTCCAAAATTGACTATAGTGGATCTATGATACTGAGGTCCAGCGACTTCGGCGCTGTCTTCGGGAAACAATGTCTACACCATGGGGTGCACATAGTCGGCCACAATTTGTACATAGTAGCTGGCAGGGACTCTTAACTTTCAAGGTGATAATGGGGCCTACAGAATGCCAAGATATGGCTGGTCAAACCATGATTGCGCCACCAATATATTTTACCATTGGCACAAGACAGTCCTGGCCATAAGCTTGGGACGGTGTTCGCCACACGTAAACCTGTCCAGTGGTTGGTAACAGTGTGAAGCTTGATTCATCGGACCATATTTGTCTTCCATTGATCGATACTTCACGATTTATGCCTGTTGCACCACTCTCTCCACTTCGGAGCATTAATATCGGTCACTAGTGGTTTGGAAATTGCAGCTCATCCGTGAATGTTTTGCTTATGGAGCTCCCTTCACAGCTTTGGAAGACTGAGATTGAGCTCTGCAGTCACTTTTGCAGCAGTTGTTTTCTTATTTCAGGTCACAATCCTGAGCAATGTCCTTTTGTCTCTCTTTCAGTCAGTTGACTTATGTCAACCGCTCTTATGCTTATCAGACAATTTCCGGGAAACTGTATATGCCATCAGAATCTTTAATACTGTACCTCGTGACACGGCAAATAAATTGGCAACTTCAGCCACAGCTAAGTGGGCACCAATAATTTGTCCTTTTTGAAGCTCAGCAAGCTCTGACATGACTCAGTATTACTCATAAAGCACGCAATGAATGACAAAAGTGAGGCTTCCCACCTGTTAGCTGGGTGTCTCATCACACAGCAGAAGCAAAAGAATGCTACATCACTTCAGCTTTTAACACGAAACATGTTGTTAATTTCACTCCTGAAAATCATGTAGTGTTTCCATATTTTTGTCAAACCCCTGTATATACCCAATATGCCAAACACAGAAACTGTGTACGTGAAAAAATACAGTATTCAAAATGGTCTATAAGCGATGTTTTAAAAGCCTTCACAGGTCATCAGTTTAGTTAACAGTGAATTGGGGTCTTAGAACATTTCTAGATGTTCCCTATAACCTAGCAAATCTTCATTTAATTAATTTCAAAAACGGTTTTAACTAACATAAGTATTTTTACTCTAACACATTTTCTAAATAATCGTATAAAGAAAAGCTGCATTTGGATCAGTTGCCATGGGCACTATCAGCTTTCCATCTTGTCACCAGTTTAAATAGGCGATAACGTTGCATTTCTCACCTGGTCGGAAGTCATGTCCCCATTGGCTGCAGCAATGAACCTCATCTACTGCAATCCTCGCCAGCTGCCCTGCCTGATAGGCCTTCTCCAGCCGTGACATGAACAGTTTGCTCTTGGCAATTTTCTCTGGTGTGACATACAGGATTTTCATTTTTGAATTGCGGTTAATCATCTCGCTGTGCACCCACTTCCAGTGTTCCTGGAGTTGACACACACACACAGAAGGAAACCATCACTTATATTATTATTATACAGTGTTTATATAACGCCAATAGTTTGCTCAGCGCTGTACATTGCAATGGGAGACAATACACAAGACAGTACAATAACAATACTATACATGAGGGGTTCGAGGGCCCTGCTCCTTGGAGCTTACAATCTAGGAGGGAGGGGATAGTGGTATGGGAGGAATAGCTGTGGGGGATGGACTGGTAGGAAGAGTGGAGGAAATCAGCAATTTAGGGTGCGCCTAAAGGAGGAGAGTAGGTGATATTCTGATGGATTGGGGTAGGGAGTTCCAGAGGATGGGGGAAGCCGTGGATAAGTCCTGGAGATGGGCATGGGAGGAGGAGACCAGGGAACTAGAGAGTAGGAGGTCTTGTGAGGAGTGGAGAGTACGTTTTGGGTGGTATTTGGATATCAGGTCGGTGATGTAGTTTGGGGCAGTGTTATGGACAGATTTATACTTATACACTTACTGTCTGATTCTCTACAAGCAGGAATCACTTTATCCTTCAGGTGTTTCACTAAAACGTCGGCCAAGCTTTTATTCTACCACATAATGGAACCGGAGTGTACATTTATTCATTAAGAAGCCGTATATATTGGAGATTTAGGAGCATATAAAAAAAAAAAAAAAAAAAAAAAAAAAGAGCCAGATGGAGGACTTCTATAAAGTTAAAAAGACTTACGAATGGGGGGGGGGGGGGGGGGTGGTGGGGTGGGGGGTTGGAGTTGGGGGTGGAATTACTATAAATTTTTGCATTTTCATTTGTACTGCTCTAACACCCAGTATGGAAACATCTAGCATAGTTATGGATCCTGAAATATACCCCCACTTTGGTACATGTTTTTGTTTATTCTTTTTCTTTCCCAGTCCTAACCAACATTTGTTTCCTTATCCCTCCTTTTCGCTTAGTGCCTTCATAGTTAAGTTCTACACAGAGGTGGTTGAATGCAGAATATGGTACATGCAACCTTGTTATGAATATGCAACCATTGAATAATTTCATGTAGCAATTGCAGGGGTGGTATATCTGGCAAAACTTTAATTGTCTTCATAATATCCGATGAGTTTGCATGTTTCCAAATGTCATTAGGTGCATGCGATAAAAACATGCGTTGATTATGCGTTTTAAGATTTTTCTTTTTACTTCTTCCTCTAAACTGTTTGATAGTACTCGACTGAAAGATTATACAAAAACAAGTTTGTATTTTTGGCTTTAAAATTACTATGTGTTCTGAAAGCAGAGGCCTTGTAGAATAGACTATAGTAGTTGCCATTTTATATGTTGTATGATATTTGTGCAACTGTTTATCAAATCTATATTTTCAGGAAGAAATACATGAAAATTAATTTTATTGCACACAAATGCAATTTCATCCCTAATTTTTTTTCTACAACAGATGAGGTAGTATAGCGTAAATAGATACCAAACGTGTTGAGCCTCAGAACTGCATCCGCCAACAAAACGGTGAAAAATTATGGCACCTAATACAGCTCTTCAGTTTAGAGTAAACCATAAATAACAGCCCTAGAAATATTACTGTCACTCCAATGTTATGGCAATATATAACATGTGTGGTGCAATCACTGTTTACATACATGTGTTCACCTTGCATACAATAGGTTCATATATATTTGGACACAGGCACAATTTTCATACTTTTGGTTCTGTATGCCACCAGAATAAATTAAAGCGAAACAATCCAAATGAATGTGAAGTGCAAACTTTCAGCTTTAATTCAAGGGGTTGAGCATTAATATCAAGTACAAATTTTAGGAACTGTACCCATTTGTATACACAGTCCCTCCAGGGGCTTAATTGTAATTGGACAAATGAATATAATCAAATAAAAATGTTCATTTTTATTATTTTGTCAAGAATCCTTTACTGGCAATGACTGCCTGAAGTCTGGAACCCATGGACATTACCAAAGACTGGGTTTCCTACTTTCTGATGCTTTGCCAGGCTCTAACTGCAGCTGTCTTCAGTTGTTCTTTGTGGGTCTTTCTGCCTTTAGTTTTGCCTTCAGTAAGTGAAATGCATGCTCAATTGGGTTGAGATCAGGTGATTGACTTGGCCATTGAAGAACACTCCACTTCTTTTTCTTCAAAAGCTCCTGGGTTGCTTTTGCAGTTGTGTTTTGGATCATTGTCCATCTGTACTGTGAAGCGCCGTCCAATCAAATCTGCTGCATTTGGCTGAATCTGGGCTGACAGTATATCTCTAAACACTGCAGAATTAATCCATGCCATCACACTGCCTTCACCATGTTTTACAGCTATTGTTGTGTGCTGTGGATCATGAGCTGTTCCAAGCCTTCTCCACACTTTTTTCTTCCCATCATTCTGGTACAGATTAATCTTAGTTTCATCCATCCAAAGAATGCTTTTCCAGAACTGGTCTGGCTTTTTTAGATGCTTTTTGGCAAAGTCTAATCTGGCTTTTCTATTCTTCAGGCTTATGAATGGTTTGCACCTTATGGTGAACCCTCTGTATTTGCTCTTGTGAAGTCTTCTCTTGATTGTAGACTTTGACAATGATACACCCACCTCCTGGAGAGTGTCCTTCACTTGTCTGGATGTTGTGAATGTATTTTCCTTTACCATAGAGAGGATATCTATGTGATCACCCATCTCTGTTGTCTTCTGTAGACGTCCATGCCTTTTTATGTTGCTGAGCTCACCAGTGCGTTATTCTTTCCTCAGAATGTACCAAACTGTTGATTTGGCCACTCCTAATGTTACTGTTATCACTCCGATGGATTTGTTTAGTTTTAGTATGATGTAGGTTCACAGCAACAGATTCCAAATGCAAATACCACACTTAGAATCAACTCCAGACCTTTTACCTGCTTAATTGATGAAGAAATAATGAAAGAGTAGCCCACACTTGGCCATGAAACAGCTTTTGGTTCAACTGTCCAATTACTTTTGGTCCCTTGAAAAAGGGGGCATGGCTACTCTTAAGACCTGTAATTCCTGTTTCCTAAACCCTTCATCCAATTTGGATGTACATGCCCTCAAATTAAACCTGAGAGTGTGCACTTTCAGCCCATATCCATTATATAACCATAGCTCGAATACGTTTTGGTAAATACCTGAAAAAACTAAAAATTGTGCCTGTGTCCAAATATATATGGACCTAACAGTATGCGTTTGCGGGTGTGTGCAGAGGGATGGAATTACTTTTAAAGTTTTTAGCAAGTGATATTTTTTCCCCTTTTTTTCATTTAGCCTTCACATGGGGAGAAAAGTCCCCTATGTGATAGCATTGGGTAGGTGACATCCTGGTTATGGAGACAAGGTAGGGTAGTACCTTCTATGAAATGTGAACTTTCACTTTAAGGATGGAATTCTTAACACAAGTATAAAGACTGCATACTTCCAAAAAACGTAATGGGCATTTTCCCCATTGCCCCCCTATTAATTGGCTTTAACAAGGGATCCCCAAAACCTTAGGGATTTTTCTGGGGTAAAAAGGTTTGGAAAGGCTGCTCTAGATATACATAGTACGTCCAGAGAGGCAAAATGGTTATATATGCCATTGACTTGAAGATCTGATTTCATACATCATTCCTGGAGTACTGACCTTATTTATTACATGTTTTTATAAAGCACCGTCAATTTGCGCAGCACTTTTACATATATAAATGTACATTTACATTAGCCCCTAACCATCAAGAAGCGTACATTCTAAAGTCCCTAATTCACATTCATACATACACATACTAGGGCCAATTTAAACAGGAGCCAATTAACCTACCAGCATGTCTTTGGAGTGTGCGAGGAAACCGGAGTACCTGGAAGAAACCCACACAGGCACAGGGAGAACATGTAAACTCCACTTAGGTAGTGCTGTGACTGGGATTCAAACCAATGACCCTAGCGCTGCTAGGTGCAAGTGCTAACCACTTAGCCACTGTGCTGCCCCTTACTGACCTTACAGTACTGGAGTACTGACCTTACTGCTTGCTGCATTCAGGGAGGTGGCAGAGATCCCCAATCGCTCCAGTACCATCAGCTGATCTTCCATCAGGGACACAAGTGGACAAATCACCAGTGTGAAACCTAAAATGGAGGAGAAAGTTAGGAGAGTTCTCCCCACATGACAAGAAAATAAGGCCTCATTGTCACATACATAGAAAGAGCAGGGTTTTATGTATTCTATAGAAAGAGAGATTTTTTTTTTTTTTCTTTAATATTGGTTGGGTGGGGAAAGCCAGACACTAACATTATGTTAGCAAGAATGTGCTGCACTCGCCCATACCGCTAACATTACCTAATTAGCTACAGGAGTGAGGGATTCAGGAATCACACATAAAGCACTGTGTACAAGTACTGGGAGTTCAAAGACGGTATACCCACTACTGTAGGTTTATAAATAGACCAGAGACAGTGGTGGGAGTTAGAGAGTGGTGAAGGCATAAAGCCTGTGCCTTCCTTCTAAATGGAGAAAACTGAAAGGCACAAGCCCCATAGTAAATTAAGAGCGATATAGTCCATTTTCTATGCTTTGGAAGAGCAGCAGAGCTGGAGCGGCTTGTTCTGCCTCCCTCTACCAACTTTCTTAGTCTATATGAAGGCTCTGCTCCTGTAGTATCTTGACTACACACGCAAAGAGAGATGTGTGAGCTCCCTGGCAGTTTACTAGCAGGCAATTCCAATCCCGTACAATTCAATGCTGCAAAGTAAAGACAATGTGGAAGATCCCCAGCTCACCACCCTCACCTTTTGAGCACACGGCCGGCAGTTGGTAACACAGACTCTTCCCACCTCCAGTTGGCATGATGAGGAAAACGTCTTTCCCAGCCATTGTGGCATTTATGGCTTCTAGTTGTAAGTTCCGGAAGATATCCAACTGGAAGGAATTGCACAGCTCCTCCCTAACGTTCTTCGACCAAACAAAGTCTGATGAAAGAAAATTGACAAGGTCAGTGTGATAGTATACATGCAACACAGGACAATTATTTATTAAAAGGGATGTTTTGGACCCACTCAGCCACTAGTAATTCCACATACAGAACCAACACCACTCACAGTTATGTCAAATGACCCCCTCTATTCTCTATCTATACCTCCTCCCTGGGTCAGCTGACAGACACCCACAGTATCTAATATCATGACACCTAAATCTCTCTCCCTCTACTCCACAGCTCACCCCTTCAATCTCCTTAAGCATCACTAGTTTACTGACATAGAGGTATGAATAGCACACCACTTCCTAAAACGCAATCTTTCCAAAATGAAGCTCATATTTCCCATTCAATTTCTTCAATTTCCATACTAGCAGATTTGGCCATTAGACAGGCATTAAAATCTGTCAGCTACCAAAAACCAAGAAGGCCTGCTAGACAAAATGTGATTTTTTTTTTTGTAAAATCCTTGTTCATAATTAAAAGGTTTAGCCCAACTATTCCTAAACACAAGAGGAAGAATCTAAATGTGAGAATCAGAAGAAGTCATGAAGATCTGAACAATGACCATATAAAAATTACTTTTAGATAAAAATTACGACATAGCTCAAAAAAAAAATAAAAAACTACAATTTACAGAGTCCGAATGAAGTTTGATGGTGGAATTCACCTTCTTTGTTCCAATCGTCTGTAGACTGAGTGCTGGCCCCAGCCTCAGCATCCTCCGATAGTGTCTGGATCTTCTTCTTCAGTCTATTCTTGCTCTGCATTAATTCCTGCTGCCTCTCCACCAGCTCATGAATCTGCACCTCAATGGCTTGTAATTCTGTGCTGACCTCCTCCAACTCATCCACCAGTGCTGAAACACCAGAGAGCGAGAAACACTTAGAGGGGGAACCACCCTCTGTGGAGGCACCTCCATCATTATGCAAGTCAACAAATATATACACTGGTGATGAAACAGGAAAACCACTGAGCAAATTCCAGCTGTAAACAGGTAATACAGTCACTATTAGCAATGCATGTTACTGTCCTACTAATGATAATTTACATTTCTCTGCAAAGCTCATTCATTTAGCCAACTCTCCTCTCCTGAAACACTTGTCACTGCTAGAGGACTCTGTTCCTTCCTCTATAATCTCCCCTACTGAAATACTCTGCTACCTCCACTGTCAAAAGTGGGGTACACACACTGAAAAAATTGGACAAACGATCAACTGATTTTCCACAAAGGTGTGGATCAGTATGTAACCAACAAAGGTATTAAATTGTACAAAAATTCTCAGACTACAAAGACAAACGTTCTTTCTTGTGTACAATTTTTATGACCATTGCTTCTTTCTTCCAGGTTGTCCTTTGTTTCTGATCATTTTTTTCTATTCAATTACTTCCATATGATTACTGTACACATTGAGCAAAAATCGGACATTGTGTTTGCGTACAATAAAAATGTTCTAGCTTGCACCTTTTTTTTTTCAATCCAGTCAGAATCAGCTGTTGAAAGAACTATACAAATGATCAAATTATCAACAAATTGTTCCTCGTCTGGAATTTGTCTTCTGATTTTCTTATAGTGTGTACCCAACTGAACTCTCTTCTGCAATAATCTGTACTGCTGGATGACTTTGCACATTCCTCTATCTAACTCTCCTCTTCTGGAATACTCTCTGGAAGACTCTCCTCCTGAAGTAATATGACTGCAAGAGTACTGCACTCTTTCCTATATCCAATTTAATTCTTCCTCACTCCATTTCATGGAGTCTTCAGGGATGGACATATTTTTAAAGACATCTGGATTAGGTCTCATCTCCGAGCATGAAAAGGGACATTAACTGCCCGGTATTAATATTAGGGATGCACCGAAATTTCGGTGGCCGAAACGTTTCGGCCGAAAACAACCCTTTTGGCCAATATGAAAAAAAGCAGATACAAGTGCCGAAAAAACTCCGCCCCTCGCCACCTGCCGTCGCCGCTACCGGCCGCCGCTCGGTAGTTCTCAGCCTAACCTGAGAAACTATCGAACGATCCCGGTGCTGGGCATAGAGATGAGTGAAGGAAAGATGGCCTCCACTCATCTCTGTGCCCTTGGAGGACCGGAGCGATGTCACTTCCGATTCCGGCCATTATTTATTTATTTTTTTTAAGCACTAGATCAATGCTTTTTTTTTTATCCAGTGCTTTACATTGCACAGGAGAGATGTGGGGTTTTATTGACCCCATCTCTCTCCATAAAGAGGACCTATCACTAATTATTTCTATCACAAGGGATGCATGCATTCCTTGTAATAGGAATAAAAGTGATTAAACTATTTTAAAAGGAACAGTGAAAAAAAAAATTTAAAAGAAAAAAAAAAAAAAAAAAAAAAGTTTAAAGTGCCCCCGTCCTCGCACATAGTGGTCAACACATACATAGGCCATACCCACATATGTAAATGGTGTTCAAACCACACACATGGGGTATCGCCACAAACTTCTGCGCAAGAGCAATAATTCTCACACTAGAGCTCCTCTGTAACTTCACACTGCTAACCTGTAGAAATTTTTAAAGCATCACCCATGGAGAGTTTTAAGTACCGCAATTTTTAAGCGTGACATGTTGGGTATCTATTTAATTGCCGTAACATCCTCTTTCATATTTTACAAAAAACTGGGGGTATATATTGTTTTTTTTTTAATGAAAGTGTATTTTTTTCCAAAAAATATATATTCATTGTTAAAAACTGCGCATTTCGGTTTTCGGCCAAGTGCATTTTGAATTTTCAGTTTCGGCACCAGAATTTTAATTTTGGTGCATCACTAATTAATATAAAACATAGCAATCCAGGAGTCAGCTGCCATTTTTCTGGTGGATCAGTAATCAAGTTTTGGATATTCGTCCAGCTCTGGCCCAATGACAGCAGAAAACGTACCTGACAGATCATCAGACGCCATGTTCTCTTCTCTAATTGTGTCACTGTAAGCAGAGAAGACAAAACCATCAGGTTTCCTTTTTATACGAGTAAGAAAGAATTCTATCCAGCCTCAGTTCCCACACTGTACAGCCCATGGAGAAAGCTTGGATTATGTCACACATTGTCTCTGTATATTGATATGCAGAGACCAGCCTGGAGTGTGAAAAGGATGTAGCCATAGCTAAAATGCAGTGATAGCGGTCACATGAATGCAATATCCTTATAATGTAGTGTAAATGTCCAATGGGCAGCTATCTGGGATATTCTGCCAAGATTTACCATATCGGATCATGTCACAGCTGTGGGTTTGCAGGTTCCCAACAATCTACAACGAGCCCCATGGCATGTTTTTTTCCTCCTCCCCAATTATCCCACTGTCAACAGACTTCCATCCACTGCGAGTACCCAGGGGACATGGAGAGAAGTGTAAATATCACATCAATTGTGATGGTCTCACAATTGTGGTGGAAAGGCGGTGGCATCAATTGAATGGATGGCTGCCAATCAGTTGTAAGGGTTACTACAAGATGATAGAAACCGCCTGAGAGGATCTGGCTCTGAGACTGCCATCAAAAAGCCACTCCATAGAAGTGCCGAAACCCGCCACAACCTGAAGGGATCTTGCTCTGAGGTCGCCATCATGGGTCCTTACCATTTAAAATGTCAGATCCCCCGGAACCTTAGGGGATCTGGTTTTGGAACTGCCATATTGAGGCACCCCCCCCCCCCCCCCCAAAGAAATATCTGTCCACCCACGGTCTTAGAGGATCTGGCTCTGAGACCTCCATCACTGAGTACTTTCGTGGAAATGTCAGCCCCTACAGCCTGATGGCAACTGCCTCTGAGACCACCATCATAGGGACCCTCTATAGAAATGTCAATCTCCCTACAGCCTGAGGGGACCTGGCTCAGAGACTGCCATCATGGGGACCCTTTATGGAAATGTCAGTCTCCCTACAGCCTGAGGGGACCTGGCTCAGAATCTGCCATCAAGGAGACCCTTTATGGAAATGTCAGTCCTCCTACAACCTGAGGGGACCTGGCTCAGAGACTGCCATCATGGAGACCCTTTATGGAAATGTCAGTCTCCCTATAGCCTGAGAGGCTCTGGCTCTGAGTCTGCCATCATGAGGCCTCTCCATGAAAAATGTCATCTACAGCCTGAGGAGACCTGGCTCTGAGACTGCCATCAGGGAGCCCCTCAGGGGAAATGTCAGTTCCCCTACAGCCTGAGGGGATCTGCCTGTGAGACCACCATCATAAGACCCTTCCACTGAATTGTCAGCCCCCACAGCATAAAGGGATCTGTCTCTGAGACCACAATCACAGGGCCCTTCCATGGAAATATCGGCTCCCCCAGAGCCTTAGGGAATCTGGCCACCATGCAAATGTCGTCCCATACAGTTTGAGGGGATCTGGCTCTGAAACCGCCATCATGGGACCTCTCCAGGGAAATGTCAGTCCCCCCAAGAATCTGCCATTTAAAAAAAAAATGATCTAAAAACAAAAACATGGAGAAACAGGAAAGTGTTATAACAGGATGAGCTGTGTGGAAGTCACAAAACAAAGAGAAGACAGCACGCTCAGTCCAGACTTCGTGATGCACGCCGTCTACGGATCCGTACGCTGGGGGACCATTCCGGGCACACATTTCCATCCATGGTTACTTTAGGCAGTGGGCTGTACGGTGCCTCAACACAGGAAAACATAGGCCCTGCTGCATTGTGTGCAGAGCTCTGCACATTGTGCTTTGTGGGGTGCTGCCTCATGGATGGGCCGTAAGAAGCCATTCAAAATGACTGGCACTGCACAGAACAGACGCACACACGGTGTTCTGCACGTGGCGGTAGCATGCACGTGTTGCCGATCTTACTGTGGTCATGTGAAGGAGCCAGGGGAGAATACGGCCACAACATTGATCACAGGCCATTCAAGGAGATCGATCTGTGCCCACAGAGATCTTCCAGTACACACATTTGTACAGGGCTGAATGGGGGAGGGGTCTGGTCTCTCAGCAGGTGGTCCATGGCATGGTTTGTGTTGTACTGCATTGGCTGACAATCATGTGATTGTCACACTGCTCCTTCCTTCTCTCCCGGTATTCGGGGTTCCTTCTACCAGACAAAATCTCTCCACACTGAACAGTTATTGGAGGTTCAGCCAAAGAACAGCTGGAGATAAGAGGGGGCGCAGCCTGGGACCTCCTCAGAGGACCAGTCACCTCCTAGGACTGCCCAGCTCAGTGCTGACAAGTCCTCAGTGTAAAGTGGGGGGGGGGGGAGAAGTGTCACTCCTGCCAACCATCAGTATCAGTCCCTCCTCTGTGAATTCCTGGTTGTCAGGCGCAACAGTCTTCTTCCTCCTTCTTATTCTCCATCATCACCCACTCACCTCTCCTCACCTTCCGGGCATTCCAGCCAATCACAAAACGCGCGTTCTCTTTGGGTCATCTGCGCGCTGCTTCCTGATTGGTACCCCAGCCGGCACCGCTTTGCTCTTTCATTGGCTGTAGAGGCTGCAGGGGAGGGATGCACATTGATTGGCTAGATAACGAGTCGCGCCTTGATTGGCTCGAGGAGCGGCGCCGCGCTGCGTGTTTCCGGAAGACGTGGCCGCCGCTTTACCCGGAGACCAAGAGAGCGGAGAGGAAGGCACGCCCACCGCCGCCAACATGATCTCCCTCACCGACACCCAGAGTAAGAGACACCGAGCATAGCACCGGCATCACCCCGGGGGATATATATTGTATGTCACCGAACATCACATAGACAGGGGATGAAAGACATCATGTATCACTGACAGATCGTCACCCCTAGGCACAGAGAGCCGTCTACATCACTCCTATATCGGACAGAGGAGGGGGACACCCCAATATATATATCGCTGACAGCTCATCACCCCCATATATTATACAGGGGAGGGGGACACCCCAATATATATATCACTGACTGACCGCTCATCACCCCCATATATCATAAAGGGGAGGGGGACACCCCGATATATATATATCACTGACAGCTCATCACCCCCCCCATCTGATATACAGGGGAGGGGGACACCCCAATATATATATATATATATCACTGACAGCTTATCACTTCCATATATCATACAGGGGAGGGGGACACCCAATATATATATCACTGTATCAGCTCATCACCCCCATATATCATACAGGGGAGGGGGACACCCCGATATATATATATATATATCACTGACAGCTCATCACCCCCCATCTGATATACAGGGGAGGGGGACACCCCAATATATATATATCACTGACAGCTTATCACTTCCATATATCATACAGGGGAGGGGGACACCCCGATATATATATATATCACTGACAGCTCATCACCCCCATGTATCATACAGGGGAGGGGGACACCCCAATATATATATATATCACTGACAGCCTTCACCCCCATATATCATACAGGGGAGGGGGACACCCCAATATATATATATATCACTGACAGCCTTCACCCCCATATATCATACAGGGGAGGGGGACACCCCAATATATATATATATCACTGACAGCTCATCACTCCAATATATCATAAAGGGGAGGGGGACACCCCCAATATATATATCATTGACAGCTCATCACACCCATATGATATACAGAGGAGGGGGTCACCCCAATATATATATCATGGACAGCTCATCACCCACATATATAATATATATATTTGGGTGTCCCCCTCCCCTGTATATCAGTGACAGCTCATCACCCCCATATGATATACAGAGGAGTGCGTCACCCCAGTATATATATCATGGACAGCTCATCACCCACATATATGATATTCATGGGAGGGAGACCCCCCCCCCCCCAATATATATATCTCTGACGGCTCATCACCTCCATCTATGATATACAAGGGAGGGGGACACCCCAATATATATATCATTGACAGCTCATCACCGCCATATATAATATATATATTGGGGTGTCCCCCTCCCCTGTATATCAGTGACAGCTCATCACCCCCATTTGATATTCAGGGGAGGGGGGACACCCCAGTATATATATCATTGACAGCTCATCACCCCATATATGATATACAGGGGAGGGGGAGGGGAGGGGGACACACCAAGACATATACATCACTGACACCAATATCACCCCCATATGTCACACAAAAGGAGGGGGACACCCCCCATATATATATATATATATATATCACTGACAGCTCATCGTCCCCATATCACATCTAAAGAGGAGGGGGGACACCAATATATATATATATATATATATATATATATATATATATATATATATATATATATCTCAATGACAGCTCTTTACCCCCATATCACATATAAAGGAGGGGGGCAACCCAATATATATATCACTGACCGCTCATAACCCCCATATCTCATATACAGAGGAGGGGGAACCCCAATATATATATTTATCTATCTCTATCGCTGAAACCAATATCACACACACAAACCGGAAAATAATTTTTTGATCCCCTGCAGATTTTGTAAGTTTGCCCACTTACAAAGAATTGAAGGGTCTATAATTGTTATAGGTGTATTTGAAATGAAGTCGCCAACCATCAGAGTCAATAGCTAAAGACCTCCAAACTTCATGTGGCCTTCAGATTAGCACAACCAACAGTGTGTAGAGAGCTTCATGGAATGGGTTTCACCAGTACACAAAGCAAAGTCCATAAAGACATGGATGAGCGAGTTTGAGATGGAGGAACTTGACTGGCCTGCACAGAGTACTGACCTCAACCCGACAGAACACCTTTGGGATGAATTAAAGCGGAGACTGCATGCCAGGCCTTCTTGTCCGACATCAGTACCTGACCTTACAAATGTGCTTCTGGAAGAATGGTCAAACATTCCCATAGACACACTCCTAAACCTTGTGGACAGCCTTCCCAGAAGAGTTGAAGCTGTTATAGCTGCAAAGGGTGGGCCAGCTCAATACTGAACCCTAAGGACTACGACTGGGATGTCATTAACGTTCATGTGTGTGTAAAGGCAGGCGTCCCAATACTTTTGCCAATATAGTGTATATCTTTCTCAGTGACAGCTCATCACCCCCCATATCTCATACAGGTGAAACTCGAAAAATTAGAATATTGTGCAAAAGTTCATTTATTTCCGTAATGCAACTTAAAAGGTGAAACTGTGTATGAGATAGACTCATTACATGCAAAGCAAGATAGTTCAAGCTGTGATTTGTCATAATTGTGATGATTATGGCTTACAGCTCATGAAAACCCCAAATCCACAATCTCAGAAAATTAGAATATTGTGAAAAGGTGCAATATTCTAGGCTCAAAGTGTCCCACTCTAATCAGCTAATTAAGCAATAACACCTGCAAAGGGTTTACCTACAAAGAGTGGTCTCTTTAAATGGTCTCTCAGTCCGGTTCAGTAGGAATCACAATCATGGGAAAGACTGCTGACCTGACAGTTGTGCCGAAAACCATCATTGACATCCTCCATAAGGAGGGAAAGCCTCAAAAGATAATTGCAAAAGAAGTTGGATGTTCAGTGCTGTATCAAAGCACATGGGTTATGTGGAAGGGAAAAGTCAAAGAAAAAGGTGCGCATGCAGCAGGGATGACCGCAGGCTTTGTCAAAAAGATTCATAAGTTGGGGACTTTCGCAAGGAGTGGACTGAGGCTGGAGTCAGTGCATCAAGAGCACCACACACAGACGGATCCTGGACATGGGCTTCAAATGTCGTATTCCTCTTGTCAAGCCGCTCCTGAACAACAAACAACCTCAGAAGCGTCTTACCTGGGCTAAAGAAAAACAGACCTGGTCTGTTGCTCAGTGGTCCAAAGTCCTCTTTTCTGATGAGAGCAACCTTTGCATCTCATTTGGAAACCAAGGACCGAGAGTATGGAGGAAGAATGGAGAGGCACACACTGCAAGATGCTTGAAGTCCAATGTGAAGTTTCCACAGTCTGTGCTGATTTGGGGAGCCATGTCATCTGCTGGTGTTGGTCCACTGTGCTTCATTAAGTCCAGGGTCAACGCAGCCGTCTACCAGGAGATTTTGGAGCACTTCATGCTTCCTTCCGCAGACTAGCTTTATGGGGATGCTGACTTCATTTTCCATCAGGACTTGGCACCTGCCCACACTGCCAAAATCACCAAAACCTGGTTCAATGACCGTGGGTTTACTGTGCTTGACTGGCCAGCAAACTTGCCTGACCTGAACCCCACAGAGAATCTATGGGGCATTGCCAAGAGAAAGATGAGAGACATGAGACCGAACAATGCAGAAGAGCTGAAGGCCGCTATTGAAGCATCCTGGTCTTCCATAACACCTCAGCAGTGCCACAGGCTATTAGCTTCCATGCCATGCCGCATTGAGGCAGTAATTGCTGCAAAAGGGGCCCAAACCAAGTACTGAGTACATATGCATGCTTCTACTTTTCAGAGGTCCAATATTGTTCTATGTACAATCCTTGTTTTATTGATTGCATGTAATATTCTAATTTTCTGAGATTGTGGATTTGGGGTTTTCATGAGCTGTAAGCCATAATCATCACAATTATGACAAATCACGGCTTGAACTATCTTGCTTTACATGTAATGAGTCTATCTCATATATTAGTTTCATCTTTTAAGTTGCATTACTGAAATAAATGAACTTTTGCACGATATTCTAATTTTCCGGTTTCACCTATATAGAGGAGGGGGGCATCCCTATCTATATCTAACTGACAGCTCATGTCATATACAGAGTAGGGTGGCACATATATAGAGAGAGATCTCTCACGGACAGCTTCTCGCCCCCCATATCGCATCTACAGAGGAGGGGGGACACCCCAATATATGTATATATATCACTGTCCGCTCACCTCCCCCATCTTCTCAAGTATAAAGAAGAGGGGGACACAGCAGGATATGTAATATATATGATGTCATATGGACACAGTGCATCACACACCTTGATCCCCATAATCAGCACCTAGAAATAAATATACATTATATAGAAACTCATTGACTGCTCATAGCACACAGTGGAGGAGGCACCCCACTGACTGTACATCATTGAATATTATACAGAGGGGGACATTGAGATAAACATGTATCTGCAACCCATGTGATGATGCTTCACTTGGCAGCCATCTTGCTGGGACATCTAGTTCCTCCTTTACTGGAGAGCTGGCATGCTCTGTATATAGGAGACTCCAACTTCCTGCGACATCATTCTGGGAAAATTGAGGCTGCAGAACAGGTGTGCAGCATTTCCAGTGTTCTACACAGTGCAGGTCACAACCATGCGAATTCTCTCATATGTCATGGACTCTTTCCAATATCTTCTCAAGTGACAAAACATCCTGTCTTTATTTAAAGTATAACTAAAAAGCATATTTTTTTTCAGTTTTGGAGAGAGTGGAGTAGGAATAGAACCCCAGTCAGTTTTTATTGCTGTCTGTGCCCCCATTAGGGAGATTCACCCTCTCTATTGGTCCTGTTTACCATTATCATTGAAAGTAAAAGAAAATCCCAAAATTTGGGTTGCCCCCAGAAAAGTAATGGAGGGAAATCTTTCAATGGGGACACTAGCTCTGGTGACCTGGGGGTCCCCAAGGAATTTTCTTAATTTGCAGGGATTTTCCTCTCACTTCCTGTTTTAGCTATGGGACAGGAAGTGAAGAGAACTCTGCAATCGGACACAGATGGCGGAAAAATTCTCACGGGTTATAACCCTTCCTTGCTCTATCCAAAATGGTAAAAATTGTCTATAGTTCTACTTCAAAGAGCTACTCCACCCAGAAGGGTTATTTTGTCTTTCTTCCTGTCCTTCTAGTGTTCCCACTCCTCTTTCTATGAAATCCTTCATAAATGTGAAATGTGTGCCCCACGTCCACCATCTGTACATCACACCTCATACACAAGACATATCTTGAATATCAGGATACCTTTATAATGACAGATAAGACAATTCATTCACACAAATAAACCTCCAAATAATTATGTGCTTGGTGATAGAGGGCAATGCTGCACATTATGTTCCAGATACAGGAAAAACAAAATAGTAAACAATAAGAGTATGCAAATTTCTGACCTTAAAAATCACAATGAAAGCAAACAATAAAGTGATGCAAATAATATCAGCTTCAATAAATAAAACCACCAATATAGTTGACAACTAGATCAGTAGTTTTATTTGTTGATGCTGATATTATTTGTTTCAATTTATTGTTTGCTTTCATTGTGCTAGTCAGAGGTTATTGTTTATTCATTCACATACTCAATCTGTGAGATTACACAGTATGTATCTATTAAAGTGCATGTATAGAGAAATGTTTTCCTTTAAATTGGTGAAAGGTTGGAACAGATTTTTATTGTTTAAAAAGTAGAAGAGGAAGTATGGAGGGCTGGATCTCTTTTTGTTATAATTTTTTTGTTTTTTATGAAGGGTTATATAGCAGGGAAAGAGTTTTCCTTCCTGGCAGCTCTGCAAGGGGTAATGGCTATAGAGTCAGCTTATAACCTTGGGTCTGTGTTGGGTAGGAGAGCGTTGGACAAGGTGTGGAAAAATCTTTATTAGAAGTCCCACCTTCATCAAGGCTTAGTGAAGGTTCTAGACATCTCTTACTGGACACGTTTGGAGCATAATTACAGAGGCTGTGCCTGGGAAACAGTGTTTCTTAGTCCAGACTTTGGTTTAACTGCAAACCATAGTATATATAATGTATTAATGATGTGGATACTATGCGGGGAATTAAAATGGTTCTAAAGGCATTCCCTGTATTAGGGTAAAAAATGTCCCAGTAGTAGTATCCCCAACCGCCCCAAAGTCCCTATCTCCATCCAGCGCTGTGCCCATCTGTAGTGGAACTGGTCTCTGTTCCTATCCCTGCAGGAGCCATTGTTTTCTGCTGCTGCTAATCAAATCCTGTGAGGAGGAAGCGGGGAATGGCACAGAGCCGTGCTGTGTGTGTCTATGGACGCACACAATTCTGCATGGGGGAGAGCCTCACATGTGCGGGCACATGCAGAAGAAGAGCCAAAAGTGCCAGCGGAGGACCCAGAAGAGGAGATTCTGGGCCGCTCTTTGTAATACCATTGCACGGAACTTGTAATTTAATTTTTTAAAAATGCAACCACTTTAATAAAATTAAAGCATCTGAATAATATATTAGCAATGTGGATACAATGTCACTCCTCCTGTATAATTTGTATAAAATGTATTAGGTATGTGCATATGATGTCACTCCCCCTGTATAGTTTGTATACAATGTATTAGGTATGTGGGTACGATGTCACTCCCCCTGTATAGTTTGTATACAATGTATTAGATATGTGGGTATGATGTCACTCCCCCTGTATAGTTTGTATACAATGTATTAGATATGTGGGTATGATGTCACTCTTCCTGTATAGTTTGTATACAATGTATTAGGTATGTGTGTATGATGTCACTCTTCCTGTATAGTTTGTATACAATGTACTAGGTATGTGTGTATGATGTCACTCTTCCTGTATAGTTTGTATACAATGTATTAGGTATGTGTGTATGATGTCACTCTTCCTGTATAGTTTGTATACAATGTATTAGGTATGTGTGTATGATGTCACTCTTCCTGTATAGTTTGTATACAATGTATTAGGTATGTGTGTAAGATGTCACTCTTCCTGTATAGTTTGTATACAATGTATTAGGTATGTGTGTATGATGTCACTCTTCCTGTATAGTTTGTATACAATGTATTAGGTATGTGTGTATGATGTCACTCTTCCTGTATAGTTTGTTTACAATGTATTAGGTATGTGTGTATGATGTCACTCTTCCTGTATAGTTTGTATACAATGTATTAGGTATGTAGGTATGATGTAATTCTTCCTGTATAGTTTGTATACAATGTATTAGGTATGTGGGTATGATGTCACTCCTCCTGTATAGTTTGTATATGATTTATTAGGTATGTTGGTATGATGTCACTCCTGATTGTTCATTGTGTGTTCTACTCTTTGCAGAGATCGGAATGGGCCTTACTGGCTTTGGCGTTTTCTTTCTGTTCTTCGGCATGCTGCTGTTTTTTGACAAGGCTCTGCTAGCCATCGGAAATGTAAGTGTGGCAGTGTGGAGAATTCTTTGGGATGGAACTGATATCTTGCCAATGTCAGATGCAGTAATCCCAACAAATAATCCATATAATCCATCTGTGCCAGACCTGGAAACAGATGTTCCAGAAAATGCGTTTCCTCATTAAATAGAATCTGTCACTGACATTTATGGCAGTGTGACAGGTCCTGTTGCTAGGGCATCCTCACCTCTATACTGAAATACGCACAAATACGTTTGTCTGCAAAAGTCCTGAGACATACTTAATATATCCAGGTGTGTGGGAGCATGTGACTCACTTGGCTTGACTAGCCGACCACCAAACCTGAACATTGTCATATGAGAAATGGGAGAAATTCATTAACCCTAAAGTGACACTAAACTTATGTTTTTTTATAAACTAAAATGTCTTATTTTTTTAAGTAGAATGTGCATTTTTTTCCTCTCTCTTCCTTTGTTTCATCTCTCAAATGCAAGGTTTTTTTCTTCTATTCTCAGACTTCCTGTTCTAGGGTGGCTACATTCATTCTCATGCCCCCCTTGTGAATGTGAACATAATAACCCTTTCCTGCTCACCCCTCAGATGGACTGCACATTTTCTTGCACACATATTCAGTTCTATGGGAACTGTAGTACAAGTAGAGCAGAGCATGTGACCAGAAATAACGGCTCTGTTCACTCTACACTAATAGCAGTGATGTACATCAGTGGAGGTTAGGGAGTGTGCAAAGGGTAAAAAAGAAGCCTGAAAGCAATGGTAAGACATTTTAACCACTTCCCCTCTTGAAGATTTACCCCCCTTCATGAACAGGCCACCTTTTGCTACACAGCGCTGCGCTACTTTAACTGACAACTGCGTGGTCATGCAATACTGTACAAAAATTAAATTTCTAAAAATGACAGCACGGGTAGGATGGCGCATGCGCACCCCCTTACCTGGAAATGCAAAAATCATGTGCATATACATAATTTTTCACAGAGCAGCAGTCCTGTAGCAGTAAAACTGCTATGGGGTGGCCGGGAAGTGGTTAAACAAAAGACCAAGATAAAAAAAAGGATTGATGTAAATTACAATTTGAGTTTACTGTCATTTTAAGCTGCCCATACACTGATTGAAATTTAGCTGGTTCAGCAAAGACCAGCCAGATTTTGATCATTGAGTGTGGCCATCCCTACTCGACAGAAGTTGATTGTTTGATAAATTTCCGTTGAAGGAAAGTGTTGGAAAACTTCTCTCAGCTGCAGATGTTAGTCAGTGTATTTTGACAGCAATAAGTGCTTCTGTCAGAATTCCAAGTTTCAACTTGGAGGGTTCCTTCATCCACACAAACGAGATGCATGAAGAAACCACCCGTACCCCAAGCTGTTAGTTTTGCTGCTGGTTGAATGAAACTAAACTAGCAGTGAACAGCCAGCTTAAAGCTGGCGTTACATATACAGGTGAAACTCAAAAAATTAGAATATCGTGCAAAAGTTCATTTATTTCAGTAATGCAACTTATAAGGTGAAATATATGAGATAGACTCATTACATGCAAAGCAAGATAGTTCAAGCCGTGATTTGTTATAATTGTGATGATTATGGCTTACAGCTCATGAAATCCCCAAATCCACAATCTCAGAAAATTAGAATATTGTGAAAAGGTGCAATATTCTAGGCTCAAAGTGTCCCACTCTAATCAGCTAATTAAGCCATAACACCTGCCAAGGGTTCCTGAGCCTTTAAATGGTTTCTCAGTCTGGTTCAGTAGGAATCACAATCATGGGAAAGACTGCTGACCTGACAGTTGTGCAGAAAACCATCATTGACACCTTCCATAAGGAGGGAAAGCCTCAAAAGGTAATTGCAAAAGAAGTTGGATGTTCCCAAAGTGCTGTATCAAAGCACATTAATAGAAAGTTATGTGGAAGGGAAAAGTGTGAAGAAAAAGGTGCACAAGCAGCAGGGATGACCGCAGCCTGGAGAGGATTGCCAGGAAAAGGCCATTCAAAAGTGTTTGGGACTTTCACAAGGAGTGGACTGAGGCTGGAGTCAGTGCATCAAGAGCCACCACACACAGACGGATCCTGGACATGGGCTTCAAATGTCATATTCCTCTTGTCAAGCCGCTCCTGCACAACAAACAATGTCAGAAGCGTCTTACCTGAGCTAAAGAAAAACAGACCTGGTCTGTTGCTCAGTGGTCCAAAGTCCTCTTTTCTGATGAGAGCAACTTTTGCATCTTATTTGGAAACCAAGGACCCAGAGTATGGAGGAAGAATGGAGCGGCACACACTGCAAGATGCTTGAAGTCCAGTGTGAAGTTTCCACAGTCTGTATTGATTTGGGGAGCCATGTCATCTGCTGGTGTTGGTCCACTGTGCTTCATTAAGTCCAGGGTCAACGCAGCCGTCTACCAGGAGATTTTGGAGCACTTCATGCTTCCTTCTGCAGACGAGCTTTATGGGGATGCTGACTTCATTTTCCAGCAGGACTTGGCACCTGCCCACACTGCCAAAAGCACCAAAACCTGGTTCAATGACTGTGGGATTACTGTGCTTGATTGGCCAGCAAACTCGCCTGACCTGAACCCTATAGAGAATCTATGGGGCATTGCCAAGAGAAAGATGAGGGACATGAGACCGAACAATGCAGAAGAGCTGAAGGTCGCTATTGAAGCATCCTGGTCTTCCATAACACCTCAGCAGTGCCACAGGCTGATAGCTTCCATGCCACGCCGCATTGAGGCAGTAATTGCTGCAAAAGGGGCCCAAACCAAGTACTGAGTACATATGCATGCTTCTACTTTTCAGAGGTCCGATATTGTTCTATGTACAATCCTTGTTTTATTGATTGCATGTAATATTCTCATTTTCTGAGATTGTGGATTTGGGGTTTTCATGAGCTGTAAGTCATAATCATCACAATTATGACAAATCACGGCTTGAACTATCTTGCTTTGCATGTAATGAGTCTATCTCGTATATTAGTTTCACCTTTTTAAGTTGCATTATTGAAATAAACAAACTTTTGCACGATATTCTAATTTTTCGAGTTTCCCCTATATATCGAATTTCGGTTTGTTTTTTTGTTACTGCAAACTGGCCAAGTTTTGATTTATGTGTATCCGTCTCCATTTGATAAAAGTCGATTGTTAGATGGATGTCTGTCAAATGGGAATGTTGGAAAACTTTTCTTGACCAGCGACTGCAGCCACTGATCAGTGTATACTGACAACCAAGGAGTCCCACTGTCAGAATACAATGTCTCAGAGGCAAGGTTTCCTCTACTCACCTCGCTTGTGTAGATGGAGGAATCCATTTTTTTATTTTTTTTTATTTTTTCGATCAGCATGCTGGCAAATCAAAAAAATATAGTCATGTAAGGCGACCTTTAGTATAGACTCCTGCAGGTGAACAGGTCCGTGGGGGAGTGTGGGGGAGAGCAAGTATGTAAGAGGAACGGGGACTTCTCTCTTTTCCCTCAATGAGCAAAGTTATGTATTATCCATAGTCACTTAGAGTCAGTGATAAAAGAAACTTGACTTCCCTGGGCTTATTCAATAGGAAAGTACATAGGGTACTGCCCCTGGCTGCCAATCAGATCCCAGTGTACTATAGTCAGGACTATGGGAGGTGTTCTTTGAACTCAGGTCTCTAGGGATTTCTCTATTCTGTGTTATTGGTGAAGTCTGTTTATCCTTCGTTTAATTTCTCTGTGGTTTTTGGACAGAAAACTTTCTTTTTGTATCCATATTTTAGTGATGTGGAAAGAAAGTATCTGCTGCTTTGACCTGTCAAGCTCATGTCTGAACTCTTCTTTTGTTCCAGGTCCTATTTGTGGCCGGATTAGCGTTTGTCATCGGACTGGAGAGAACGTTCCGCTTCTTCTTCCAGAAACACAAAGTTAAAGCCACAGCATTCTTTCTTGGCGGAGTGTTTGTGGTCCTCATCGGCTGGCCACTCATTGGGATGGTTCTAGAGATCTACGGTTTCTTCCTGCTGTTCAGGTAACTGAGGGGACCTTGTGCTGACAGGACAAGTTTGTTTTCATATCATTCTTAGGAGGGCAAGCAGAGAAAAACAACTGTGTGCTGCTTTGTCCATCTTTCAAGCGATCATTCTCAGTCCTAACACCCCAGTCACATCGGGTACAACTTGGCATGCGATTTGCATGTCATGCTACTTACAAATCGTATGCCAAGTCGCACCCTATTGTTCGCAATTAGAGCGGTCAAATCGGTGCGCTTCCGACTTGGTCGAAGCTGCACCAATTTCTGAAGTAGTACATGTACTACTTTTGGTGCGATTTGCATAGACATCTGTGTCAGATGTCTTGCAAATCGCACCTGAAATCGGAATGTCACTTGACTTTGAAATTGTGCGACTTCACTATAAGTAGCACGATTTCAAAGTTGGGCTTGATGTGACCGGGGGATAAAATGCGTAAGTGTCAGTTCCAGCAGAAGAGCACAGGCCAGTAAGAATGTCACCGAATTTTCCATGATCCCACAGGAGGTACATCACAATGTATCACTTTTTTCTTTTGCTAATAATTTTATTATCTATACCACCCTAAATACACACTCACTGGCCACTTTATTAGGTACACCTGTACAATTGCTTGGTAATACAAATTTCTAATCAGCCAATCACATGGCAGCAACTCAATGCATATAGGCATCTAGACGTAGTGAAGACGACTTGCTAAAGTTCAAACTGAGCATCAGAATGGGGAAGAAAGGGGATTTAAGTGACTTTGAATGTGGCATGGTTGTTGGTACCAGACGGGCTGGTCTGAGTATTTCAAAAACTGCTGATCTACTGGGATTTTCACGCACAACCATCTGTAGGGTTTAGAGAATGGTCCTAAAAAGAGAAAATATCCAGTGAGTGGCAGCTGTGAGGATAAAAATGTCTTGCTGATGTCAGAAGAGAATAGGCAGACTGGTTACTGCAACATTCAGATAGGGTCAGAATTTGGTGTAAACAAAATGAAAGCATGGATCCATCCTGCGTTAGCAAGGTGTACCTAATAAAAAGGCCTATGAGTGTAGTGTTGTCTGTTCATTTCAGTGGATTAAGCTGCTGAAGAAGCATTCCTTATAGCCCAATTGAATTTTAAAGCTGACCTCTAGCCTTCCTTTCAGTCTTGCACAGTTGTACAGGCTGCTCTCCTGCACTGAAATTGCTTACTCTGATGTCTCTGCCAACTCCTTATCTGGCTGAAGGATGTCCAGTGTCATCAAGCTTCTTCTTCCCTAGCCTGACCGTTCCTGGCCTGCCCCTTTCATTCTTTTGATTTCAGTTCTCTTAATTATGCAGATCCATTATGCGGTATTAAACCCACAACCAAAAATGTGTTTTATTGCAGCTTACCGATCGTTAGATGTGGCTGCATCAGTTTTCTTTTCTTTGTCTTTTTCCCCGTTTTTACCTGGTGATCCAACCAGTAACACGCCTCCTTTATTAGGCTACTTTCACACTGAGCTGCCGCAAAAACGCTTGTGCATTTTGCCACATTTTTACCACGTTTTTGCTGCACTTTATGAGCATTTTTTAAAGGACACGTGACTTAAAAACTGCACCAAAAATGCTTCTCATAGGCTTTTTTAAGGTGTTTTCCATTGATTTTGGGGCATTTTATTTTTTAACTGAACAAACATGCTCCAGAGATGCTCTAAACAGGAGTTTTAACAGCGCAACGGAAGCACAACTCCCCAGTGTGAAAACGTACATAGACATACATAGGGAAGTATTTTTCTGGAGCTTTTCAGGAAGCGCTTCAAAAACTCCTCAGTGTGAAAGTAGCCTTAGTTAGACACTACTCTGGAGGAATGAGACAGGAGGCACAGCAGACAGCAGCATTGTCAGTCTGGGGGGGAGGGTAGTGTTAAAGGTAATAGCAGATTTGGATACACCAACAAACTGAAACCAAACGCCAGCTCACCCTTTATAGTCATTGACCACAAACCGTTTTCCTTTTGGGATAAAAGTTTTACATAAGTTTTAAATAAAAGCTGATCTCTTTTGACCACTTAAGGACGAGGCCTATTCTGACACTTTTTGTTTACACGTTAAAATCTGGTTTTTATTTGCTAGAGAATTACTTAGAACCCCCAAACATTATATATATATATATATATTTAGCAGGGGCCCTGGAGAATAAAATAGCGGTCAATGCAATTTTTTATGTCACATGATATTTGCCCAGCGTTTTTTCAAACATTATTTTTTTTTTTTTTTAAATACACTTTAATGAATTGAAAAAAAAACAACAATATACAACCCAATTTGTTTGTAAAATATGAAAGTTACTACAAATAAATAGATACGTAACATGTCATGCTTAAAAACTGCACAAGCTTGTGGAATGGCGCCAAACTATGGTACTTAAAAATCTCCATATGCGACACTTTCAGCATTTGTTCAGGTTAAAAGATTAGCGTTACAGAGGAGATCTAGTGTTAGAATGATTGCTCTCACTCTGACGTTTGCGGAGATACCTTGTATGTGTGGTGCAAACACCATATACATATGTGGGTGCTTTAAGAAAAAAAATGTAGTATTTTATTTTTTTTTTACATTTTATTTTTACACTGTCCCTTTTACAATTTTTTTTTAAAATCACTTTTATTCCTATCACAAAGAATGTGAACATACCTTGTGATAGAAATAAGGTATGATAGGGCCTCTTTACAATGGAAATCATTAGCTCAAAAAAGAAAAACATTGATCTAATGCTTAAAAAAAAAAACAAAAAAAGCCTTGTTTACATTGCCCATGAACCATAAGTGAAGTTTTGACGTTGCTCCGGTCCTCCTATGTCATACAGATGAGCGGAGGCCATCTTTCCTCTGCTCATCTCTGTGGTCAGCCACCGACAGCACCAGATAAAGTTCCTGGGATCACCGATCATCAAGGTAAGCCCAAGAACCACCAGAAAGCACCAGTAGTGGGGGGGACCCACCCGCTGCTTCTTAAAGTGATCCAGCGGATAATCAGCCGATCTAATCACTTTTAGCAGAACAACCGGCTCCTGATGAAAATTTTAATACAGGGTTATGACATCTAGCTGCAGCTATAATCCTGGTATTAAACGTCAAACTAATGACGTATTTTCCCAGTTAGCCGTATGGCAAGGGTTAAGTGGTTTGTCTCATCCATGTAAACTGATGCATTCTGATGGAGAGCTTGTGCTTTTGAAAAACAGACCTGCTGGCTGGTTCATCAGATATAAATAGAAGAAAGACAACCTAAAAAATAAAACTAATACAGTCATCACATCTAAGGATTGGTAAGCTGCAGTATAATAAATATTTGCTTTATGGATTAATACTGCTTTAACTTGGGCAGTCTGCAAGCAAATGCAGCCTGGCTAGGAGTGCACACTCCTCTAGACTCCTATCCACTCATCATTGCATTTTGATACTTGCATAACTGCTGCCAAGAGCCTGTGCACTGCTCACAAATTATAGATTTAGGGCTGATAAAAGGAGTATTGAGGCAGGGTACTGTGATATTTTCAGGAAGCTACGTTCAGCACCCTCCAACCAGGCTTTGATCTCCCTCCAATACATAGAAAAACACAGAGACCCAGTGATAAAGTCAATGGGTCGAAAAAAAAAAGTGTTTAATGGAAAGGTCTAATTTAAAAATTTAATTGGCATTTTGATGAGTGGAGATTGAGGAGATGGGCAATTCTGGAAGAGCAAATGGGTTCTTTATCTCTGCCCATCTGCAGCTGAGTTTTGGTGGAAATATGCAGTTCCTCCCTCCCTTCCTTCAGTTTTGTTGCTTTCAGGCTACCAGAAAAGGGATGTTATGTGTTTTAATACTGCTGGTTGGATTGATAATTTCTTTTCTTCCTATTAGGGGATTTTTCCCAGTGGTTGTCGGTTTTATTCGAAGAGTCCCTGTATTAGGATCTATCCTGAATTTACCTGGAATAAGCTCGGTAAGTTAGCCATGAAATCCACCAGAATTGTTGCTGTAGTAACTCTTTGTCTGGTCCATGAGGGACACTGTGATTTCTGCGCTCTTTCCATAGGACAGGAGCACTGTTCTCTCTGGTGTTATACAGTGGGATGTGCTGCCACCTAGTGGTTCAGCACTGAAGTGCACACTTATGTCTAAGGATGGAATATTTGATGAGATACCATTGTCATTTTATTGCAGCTTCACATCTGTGTGTGTTTATTCTCTTACGGAGAGGTGAAGAGGATTACACATGCATCCAAGTATGCCTTTTAAGCTTGATTTGCTAAACATACTATCACATACTGCAAGCAGGCAGGCTCTTTATTGCAGAAGAAATATGCAATAAAATACACCTAAAAAAATATTTTAAGGTGTGAATCCCTCAAAAAAACTGCGCTAAAAATATATAAGTGCAAATCATTAAATAGAGAAAATGTGCAAATACCTCATAACATGCTGCCATATTGAATAAATTAACAAATGAAATAATAATATTCTAAAATAAATACATAATTTTTATTTATTTTATTAATATTTTATTTATTTTAGAATATTATTATTTCATTTGTTTATTCAATGTGGCAGCATGTTATGAAATAAAATACACCTGCCTGCCTTCTCACAGTCTTCTCCGGCATATAAAATAAGCTGCACATGCATAGCTCAGCTTACATCACTGGCATGGTTATTGTGCGTTGAGATGATGGACTCATGTGCTGGCCAGTGAACGCAGCCACAGACCGGCACCCACAAAAAGATGCTGGCAAAGGGGCAGGAATCGTTGAAAGAAAGGTAAGTTTAACTCTACCTTAATTGGAGGGCAAAACACCCAGAGTGTGTTTTGCCCTCCAATTAAGGTAGTATATTCATTTTTTGAATAGTCTCATCAATGCATGTTCCTTGTTTTCTAATCCTTTTTTATTTTTATATTTTATATTCATAAGTGTGTTTTAAGTGATAAGTGATTTTTAAAAAAAGAATACAGTTGGCATAGCTCCAGGCAAAATCTGTGCAGCCACGGCTGTGGTTATCAGGATTCATATCCTCCCCTCAAACCATGTGAAGATTAAGTCGTACACTACCTTTTTTTTTTTTTTCTTTATTCACAATGTACTTTATGGACACCAGCAAGCAAACAAAAGAGCCCAACGTGGCTCACCCCTGACATATTTCATCTTTCTGGGCTTAGTCATAAAAGTCATGACTAAAACACATCAGTGTCAGAGCCACATGGATGGAGTGACTCATATGTCACTTGTGCTTTTCTTTGCTTGTTTGGTGGCAATTGGTGGTGTATTGGTACACTGAGTGAAGAAAAAACGGGTGTGCAGCTTGAACTTCACAGAATGATAATTCAGTGTTTAGTGGAAACTAGAGAGGTTAAATCCCATAAGCAGTTTATAGATGTGTGCAGTAAAGATGACCATTCTTGGTTATGTATTTCAGAAAACTGTTATAGATAGTTCTGGAAGCCAAGAAAAAAATGCTGCTTTTAAACTTCAGGGAAACACAAAAATGACATATATGCTGCAGTCTGTAGCATTAGCATCTGTTTTTGTTTTTCTAAGTTTCCCTGTAACATTTTATATGCTGGTTGCTTCTACCAGTATATTTGTTCTATTGACTATTAGGGTAGCTGCAGGTCTTTATATTCTTCGGGGCTGTCCACCATGTTTGCAGTGCTGCCTCTGACTATTGTCAGTAATTGTGTCCCATGCCATCACTTTTCAGAAATGTGTACAGCACACCACACAAACCAAACTGTCCACACTGTGTGATGAGATTCATATAAAGAGCTGCCATTTACAATTTTTTTTTTTTTGTTTGTTTTTTTTGACATTTAAAGCCCACATAGACTGGGAAGAATCCACAGTAATGGTCAGTCTTTGTCTTTCCTTCTTACTTCGCTTTATGTACGGGAGGGTTTCTGTCATTCCAAAGATCTGCATTCACTATATTACGATTTTCTTTCCTCATTCTCCATGAAGGGGTTAAATTATGTCCAGCAATTCACAGATAATCTATTTACAGCGATCAGCTCCTTCACTTCCCAAGGAAAATCAAAGGCTGTGTAAAGCCTGGGAATTTATCTGAAACCAACGATATCAAGACAGGCTGGTTATTATGGGTGATGCTGCCACAGATTATTATTCAGAATGTCTGTGGCAGCATTTCCAGTCTGTCTCAGCAAAGCCAGTTCCAGATAGGGGGTCAGACAGCACAGAGCCCTCGGTTTTCTCATAGAAGTAGAAGAGCTGTTAATTAATAATGGTAATAATGGTAATTACTGAGAAGCCTTCATGGACAGTTTCTTTACCTTCATGCAAATTTAATGTAGGACTTCATCCTACTAGAACAGCTGCCAGATGGTACCTGGGTTGAGTTGGGGGGATTCTCACTGTGTCCCTGTTCAGGATGGCGTATGGCCAGTGTTGGGGGATTCTCAGTGTGTCTCCAAAACACTTCCTGATGCTCACAGACCATCAGGAAAATCCCAAAACTATATTCATTTTTTGAATAGTCTCATCAATGCATGTTCCTTGTTTTCTAATACTTTTTTATTTTTATATTTTATATTCATAAGTGTGTTTTGCTTCTTACACTGTTCATTTGGAAATGCAACTGTCAATGATACTGGTCTTGTCTCTGCACCTGTCTAGTGTTTAAAAGGAATACACATCCTGATATACAGATAGTAATTGGAGGACATACAATCTGTATAGTTAGGTCCATATATGTTTGCACACAGGCACAATTTTAGTTTTTTTTTCAGGTATTTACCAAATCATATTCAAGCTATAGTTATATAATGGATATGGGCTGAAAGTGCACACTCTCAGGTTTTATTTGAGGGCATGTACATCCAAATTGGAGGAAGGGTTTAGGAATTACAGCTCTTAAGAGTAGCCATCCCCCTTTTTCAAGGGACCAAAAGTAATTGGACAATTGAGTCAAAAGCTGTTTAGGAGCCAGGTGTGGGCTACTCCTTCGTTATTTTTTCATCAATTGAGCAAGTAAAAGGTCTGGAGTTGATTGTGTGGTATTTGCATTTCGAATCTATTGCTGTGAACCTACATTCAAGTGAAACAGGCCATTGTAAGGCTTAAAAAACAAAACTAATCCATCAGAGAGATAGCAGCAACATTAGGAGTGGTCAAATCAAGAGTTTGGTAAATTCTGAGGAAAGAAGAATGCACAGGTGAGATCAGCAACATAAAAGGCATGGACGTCCACAAAAGGCAATAGTGGTGAATGATCGCAGGATCCTCTCTATGGTAAAGAAAAACCCATTTACAACATCCAGACAAGTGAAGGACACTCTCCAGGAGGTGGGCGTATCATTGTAAAAGTCTACAATCAAGAGAAGACTTAATGAGAGCAAATACAAAGGGTTTACTACAAGGTGCAAACCATTCAAAAGCCTGAAGAATAGAAAAGCCAGATTAGATTTTGCCAAAGGACATCTAAAAAAAAAAAAGCCAGACCAGTTCTGGAAAAGCATTCTTTGGACAGATGAAACTAAGATTAATCTGTACCAGAATCATGGGCAGAAAAAAGTGTGGAGAAGGCTTGGAACAGCTCATGATCCAAAGCACACAACGTCATCTGTAAGACATGGTGGAGGCAGTGTGATGGCATGGACATGCATGGCTTCCAGTGGCACTGGGTCATTGGTGTTTATTGATGATGTGACAGAAGACAGAAGCAGCCAGATGAATTCTGCAGTGTTTAGACATATAGGGGTTTATTTACTAAAGCTGGAGAGTGCAAAATCAGACTCACTTCTGCATAGAAACTAATCAGCTTCCAGGTTTCATTGCCAAAGCTTCATTGAACAAGCTGAGGTTAGAAGCTGATTGGTTTCTATGCAGAAGGGAGTCTGATTTTGGACTCTCCAGCTTTAGTAAATAAACCCCATACTGTCAGCCCAGATTCAGCCAAATGCAGCAAAGTTGATTGGACGGCACTTCACAGTACAGATGGACAATGATCCAAAACACACTGCAAAAGCAACCCAGGAGCTTTTAAAGGAAACAAAGTGGAATATTCTGCAATGGCCGAGTCAATCACCTGATCTCAACCCAATTGAGCATGCATTTCACTTGCTGAAGGCAAAACTAAAGGCAGAAAGACCCACAAAGAACAACTGAAGACAGCTGCAGTTAGAGCCTGGCAAAGCATCAGAAAGGAGGAAACCCAGTCTTTGGTAATGTCCATGGGTTCCAGACTTCAGGCAGTCATTTGATAGTAAAGGATTTTTAACAAAATATTAAAAATGAACATTTTATTTATTATTATATTTATTTGTCCAATTACATTTGTTCCCCTGAAAATGGAGGGACTGTGTATAAAAATGGTTGCAGTTCCTAAAATTTGTACTTGATATTTATGTTCAACCTCTTAAATTAAAGCTGAAAGTCTGCACTTCACATTCATGTGGATTGTTTCATTTTAATTTACTCTTGTGGCATACAGAGCCAAAAGTATGAAAATTGTGCCTGTGTCCAAATATACAGTATATGGACCTAACTGTATATGTAATATAAAAGTGAGTATTAATAATAACTCCTAATGAAAGCACTCTGTCGCTAACAGCTTAGGGTAAAATCCATCACAGGCTGATCTGTGTCAGACATTTGTAAACACAGCCAAGAGCTGCATGGATACCATAGATTTCACAATTGGGATTTCTGAGCCAGCACCTCTGTCCAGGAAACAGATATTAACCCTGAATAATGCCTGAGCAATGATGGTGCCATCCTTCTGGAAAGAAAAGCAGATAAAGGCATTGTCGGGAGGAGTACTGTGATCTTTGTGAAAGGCAATAAATACCTAAAAGGGTTACACTTGACACATGATTGAGCATATTACACGTAACATAAATCCATATTCCTGATTACAGGTCCTCTTTAAAGTGTATGTAAACCGTCACCTTGTAAAACATTCCATTCAGTTTAAAATAGAAATGAAAGGCAAAAGATTTGT